GAATGAGGTGTTTAGAACAGACATCTCAGCTCTCACACTTTCCTCTACCTCTATCTACAGGAAGGAAAGGGTTCACAACACAGAGGGAAGTGACCTGTATCATCCCAGCTACTGCTAAATCAGAGTGGACGGAGCTTACGGCAGAGAGAAACGTTATGAAAGTCAAAACATCGTAAGTCCAAAGGAATATACCAAACTGCCTGCTTTCAAAGGGTATTTTTGAGAGAAAGAGAGAGAGAGAAAGAAACATCTGCTTTTGCCCAGAGAGCAGCAACAGTTCCAAAGCATGATGTCCAGGGCTGAACTTCAACTGGTTTACGTTGGCTCATCTACACCAGTTGGTTATGCCTGGCAGCTATTCTGCTCGGTTGGTGCCACTGTTCAAACCAGTAGGGACATATTTTGAATGTCATCCTAGTTTATGTCATAGTTTCTGTATCTATTATGTGAAAGGAGTCTTAGAAAAGATTCATGTGATCGGACAGACTTGAATAGACAAGCAGACACCCATATTGTTCACAGATATTCGCTAAGTACTTTACTAATGAACTTATAACAACAACCAGAGTTTCGTTTCCTACGTCTTCTCCTTTCTCTCTTAGCAGAGATGGACAAGAAAAATATATTACCTGAAACTTTGTCTGCTACACAATTTGCTCCCACCTCTCTGCTTTGTCTCCCTTTCTATCCTGTGGTCCAGCTGGACTGGTCTACTTGGTAGCTCCCCAGTCTGTCTGAACAGGAACTTGCTTGGAGACTTCCTTCGTCTCAGCTCCGCAGGCTCCCATGCTCTCCCAGGATAATGCAGTGCTTATCCTGAAAACCCAGCTCTCCTCCTACCCACTCTGGAGCCTTCCTTAGCATTATCAACCAACTGTCAACATTCTCTCTTAGTCATCTAGTACTTACTAGCTCTCCTGCTACTCACTGATGGTTTGTTGCTGAGGATATTTTAATTTATTATGCAATTGCATTTATCGTTATCTTCTATGTGCACGTGTGATTTAAGTGTTTAAAATACAAATTCACTGAAACTTAAAACTACAAAAGTCAACCCCAATGGCCAGCACTGCAGCTCACATAGAGCAGATGGATTGCTCTCCCAGGAGGGCGAAAGACTGTTAGATACGCTGCATCTTCCCCAGCTCAGAGTTTGGTCTACAAGACTCAAGGGCCCATAGAGGTCCATTCTGTCAAGATCAAATGCCTTGTTTTTCGGATCTGCATTCTCCTCTCAGTCCTACAAGTGCCAGAAAGCATAGGAAGGCTGTAAGTTTGGGGGAGAAGGAAGAATTTGGATGACCGTCCAACATCAGGAATCCTTAGGGTGGCTTTGTGCCACAGGAAGAAAACAGAAAAGAAGAGAAAGATGGGCAGACACATCAAACAAAAGAGAGAGAGAAAATGGACCATGTCATCTTCATCCTTTTGCCATGCCTTCTTGATTTTATGACTTAAACAACGAAATACATAATAATAAAACCTCGTTAATGTTTGAATTATAAAGTAATTGAGTAGCACAGCTGTGGTAGGCAGAGTGAGGGCCCCTCGAAAATGTCCATGTCCTAAACTCAGAGGGGGGCTGTGAATATATAGTCTTACATGGCAAATGGGCTCTGCAGATGTGATTAAGTTTAGGATCTTAATAATCCAGGGAGATTATCCTGGATGATTCATTTGGGGTCAATGTGTCCACAAGGTCTTCCCACAAAATGTTCCTTATGGTGCATGTGGTCATAAGTTAAAAAGGGAGAGGCAGAGGCAGAGAGAGATGCTGCTGGTTTTGAAAACGAAGAAATGCAGGCAGCCCCTAGGAAAGGATGGAGAGAGCGAGAGAACAGGTTCTCACAAGAGCCTCCAGAAAAGATCGCAGGCCTGCTGAGGTGCTGCTGATGTTGGCCCAGCGAGTCCCTGGTCAGACCTCTGACCTATGGAACTGCAAGATATTAAATGTGGCCACTTGCTACAGCTGAGCCGCCATAGGAAACTTAGGCAATGACATGCGCTATTGAGCGTCTTGTGGGAAGACCTAAGTGGGCGTCCAGTGAGAGTTGGGGAGTTCAAGGTAAGGATTCCAGGTGTACACTGAATAAAGTGAGACAGATTTCTAGGGCAATGAGGAGGGGAAAGGGCACTCCAGTCTGTGGGGATAAATGGAGAAAAGAGAGTGGGTTCGCGACACTGCCAGACAGCCCACCCTCTAGCCAACAACACGACAGCATGATGGCAAGAGGCGAAGGGGGAGGGTTGGCTTCTCTACCTTGGGGAGGGGCTAAGGCTTTAAATCTAAGGTCATGAGGTTACGAGGGGGCACTGATGATTAACAAATGGTGGAGGTGGAGCTGTGTGTGTCCATCGTATGTGTTTGTGTGTATATATTGAGGGGCTGGAATGACACAGCAAGATTTATATTTAAAACATGTATCACATATAATTTCCCTTTAGCAAATAACTCCCAAGCAGAAATAAATGACAATAATCTCAAGTATGAGCCCCAGTCTGAATGTCACAAGGTAGAGGCTCTTATGTGGCCCCCAGATTTACAGTCAGGGTTTCTTTCAGCCTGGATGAAAGTGAGCTCCAGGGCGGGAGACTTCTGGGCCTAGGTCCCCCTCTCCGCTAGCCCCTCCAATCAAGAGGGCTTACTCAGGGGGCTGCAGATGGTGGTTGGGGGATGCTTTAGTCCCTGCACAATCTCCACCAGGCCTGCCCAAGCCATCGCAAAAAATGCATAATTTGAATACTTTATTTTAAAATATGATGACCTTAGGTAAAGTGCGAGGAAAAGCAGCTTCAAAGTCTTTGGCTATTTAAAATAATGTGTAGGCATGCTGTCATGAAAATAGCGATCAGCTGCTAGAGTATAAGAGAAATCCATACACGTCAGTCCCTTTTGCCCCAGTTTCCAACTTCTAAGGAACTTCACTGGAGTTTTGTATTGCAGGATGGTCTATGGATTCTCCCAGGCAGCACTGGGTAGGTTGCTAAGATTTCATAACCCCACATTCTTGTTCATCCTGAATAGTTCCCAGTTCCCCTTCATTCAAGATGTACTCAAATTACCTGGGGAGCCGTACATTTGCAGGACTAGGAAACAAGACTTCACACTGATTCGAATTCCTACTTTCAGAGAGTTTTCCATATGCCCCCACAAAAGTGCACAAAAATCTCCCCTTCACCTCTGTTCTTGTCAATTTCTTCCGGGATACGATGGGGTTTAATACAAAAATTTTCACTTAACCATTATTACTTTTAGTAACTTTATCAAAAAATACGTGAAATACCGAAAATCACTTAGTTCTGTGGGGGCTGGAGTACTCACAGGCCATTATCCTGTGTTTACCTGAATTAATGGGGCACATGTTTTTCTCCAAGAGAAGCGCAGGCCAGGCAGAGAGGTGACGGGGTCTGGGAGAGCGGGCTGAGCCACAGGCCAGCTCTGCAGGAGGAAGTGCTGTGTTTATGGGACCAACTTGCAAATGCAAACACAAGCAAACCAAAGCAATGTTAACAAAGGACCCTGGACAGCTTGATTTCTCCAGTGTTTACAAGGCATCCCAAACATCCAGGGCTTAGGAACATGGGCTGTGAGCACACACTTATCTAGTATTTACTAGAACCACAGGGGTAAGTTCACCAAAATTTACCTAAGAAACATCAAGTTTTTCTTCTCCACTTGGGCCCTAATCCTCAAGTTCATCACACACCCACACCATTTCTTTTCCTCTTATGAGCTTGGGACTCAGTAATCATAGGATTCCCGGTAAGATTCTGAAAAGCTATTGGATGATGGGGTCAGCGGGTGGGTTGCAGTTTTCCAACTCTGTTCAATGTAGGGTGGGCAGAGCAAATAATTAGGGAAGTCGTTTTCCTCAGCCCTAAAAGTGAACGAACTTTCAAAGGCACACCGGAGCCAGCCCAGAAGAGTTCCCAACGGTCAAAGCTAGAACAATTTGAGCAACAAAATAATGTAGTACTGAATTCTAGCTCAAAGTATAAAATAAATATACATGAGTCCATACTGATATAAATAAATGATTGAATAGATAAATAGGGGGACAGAAGGAACAAACCTTCCTTGCAGAATAATTCCAAACAATATACGTAGCTACCCCACCCCACCCCTCCAGGAGTTTTACTTTGCCCACCCTCGTCTCTTGAGTGTGGGCTGAACTTAGTGACCTTCCTACAAAGAAGAGAGTAGGGAAAGGGAACAGCAGTGACCCCACCTCGGGGAATCCTAGCAGGCTGTACTTTAACTAGGTGACTAAGGTTAGCATCACTTGTACCAGATCACGTTGTTACCACGCATCCCCTGATAGATGCTGTGAGGAGAAGCGCACTTGACCTCTGTGGTCTTCTTTCCCCAAACCCATAACTACAGGCTAGTCATGAGGAAAACATCAGACAAAACCAAAGAAAGAAATCCACAAAATAGTTTATCAGAATTCTTCAAACCCATCAAACAACTAAACAAACAACTAAACAAAAAGCAGAGAGGGCCAACGAGATGCCACAGACCAGAGGAGCTTAACCAGAAAGGACACTAAATGCAGAGTGGAATCCTGGATGAGATGAACAGAAACATATTAGGGGAAACCAGTGAAATATGTGAAAAGATGAGTTTAGTTAATAGCTACAGGCAATGTTAAGTTCTTGGTTTTGGCAAATGTACCATGATGATAATGGAAGACAGGAGTATCAGGGGGCACCGGCTGAATGGTGTAGGCAACTCTGTACTATCTCTCTCTGCACCTTTTTCCTAAATCTAAAATGATTCCAAAATAAAAAGTTTAATTATAAACAAGAGAAATGCTACTTTACGAACTTAACCATCTCCCTTGTATTTCTCCTGAGAGGCGTGTAGTGCTTGCGACTTGAGTGTTGGAAAGCACGGAGCGCACCCGTGCTGCGTGGGGCAGGCAGCGTGCGTAAGGCGCGGTGGGGGCCCAAGCTCCTCCCTGAGTCACCCGGACGCCGGACTTTTGCCCCAGCGCGCCCTGCGGGGGCGGAGTCCAATCTGTCCGGGACAGCGGAGCTACCAGCGCCCTGCGGGTCCACCCAGCGGGAGAGCCCAGGGTGGTAGCAGCGCCTGGACCCCGCGCGCCCTGAGCGTCCTCCAAGGTAGGCGACCTGCGACCCCGCGGCGCGCGCCAGTTCACCCCCTCAGAGTGAGTGGGCGTCCAAGGTGCCCTTGGAGCCCGTTCCTCCAGCGCAGCTCGGTTCACCAAGGACCTTGCCTTGTAAACAGGTGGGGAGATTATCCCTCCTGGTGAAGCTCTCTTCTGCGCTCTGATTTCTGGGCGAGGAGTTTCTGCTCCCCTGGAAAGAGAAAGTCGTCCCCCGCCCCCCTCCCGCGCACTCCTGGAGAAAGGATCGCTCCTCATTCGCCTGATGCACCCCGGGTTATCTAGGTTACGGCCGTGCAGTCCCTTTGCCGGAGGACCCCACGATTTCCCCTTGCTAAACTCAGGGCAGAAAACTTGCTGTCACCTGTGACTTCCCTCGTCGCGGCTCCGGCCGGTCACTGCGCCCGCCGTGTATAAGAGCACTGACCAATGAATGGATGAAGGTGCTGGCTTCTGTAGCTGCAGGTGTAGCCAGAGAACTGCCGGTTGGCCGTCGGTGCTCTACCGTCGTGGAATGTTAGAGCTGGGAGTTGTGCAAGGGGCAGTGTTGCCTTACTGAAGGCAGGGCAGGGCAGGGGGTGCGGGGGCTGTTTTTAGATGAGATGGTGAGGTCGCTCTGGTTTTCGGCCTTCTTCGTAAGGAAAATAAACATACAGGGGTGGGCAAAAGGACCTTTACTTTGCCGTCGTGATGTCTTTTGAGCAAAGCCTATTGTAATAATCATAATCTGCCTGTCTTTTTTCCATACGAACGAACAACTGCAAACCTACTTTTGCCCACCCTGTGCATATATGTGGATCAGAAGAAGCAGCGGGCCCCGCACGTAACTGAAGCTGTATCTCTTCACTTTGACGCTACCACTGTTTTATTTTATGAATCCATGCCTCCTTTACTTTCTTGGTATCTGTGGCCTAGATGAAGCAGCTAAATACAGAAGGGAATGACTATATTCTGCATTTGCTGTAGGGACTAGATAACCTGTCCTTTTGATTTTACCTAATGCTAATTAAATATTCAATTCTGTAGAAGTCTGGCTTTCCAGAAATCTGAGATGAGCTGAAGTCTCTGGTACCTGGGGACAGACACAATGGGTGCTGTTGTTTCCTGTTGCTAGGCTGTCCCCTCCCCCTCCCCCAACTCAGAGAGTGAAGGTCATTGACCCAGAGGAATTTGTGCCTAAGGCAGGCAATGCCCTTCCTTCCCTTGGCTCCTCAATTTACAGAAAGAAAGAAAACAGTTCACACTTCCTGTGACCCAGGCAAACTTCCCAAGAAGGAGCCTGCCTTTGTGATTTGCTAAATGACTTACACCTGCTCCAACTACAAAGCGGCTTTTGAAATCAATAGACACTATTTAAATTGTGATATTCACCTCGATGATTCCATGAATGTATAAAACCATGTTATTGATTAGCTTAGTAATTTACAATGTGCTGGACAGCGAGTGGGCTTGAGCCGTAATCCAAATTCTGGCCAAAGATGAAAAATGTAGGCTAGGTTTGGCCAAAACTGAAAAAAAAAAAAAAAAAAACAAAGGAGTTGTATGTTTGTCTTTGGAATCAGTTTCAAATATTTTGAACTGAGATATTTACCTCAAAATTATATGGTCATGTATGGACTGAAAAAGTTTGATGGCAAAATGTTACTATCAGTTTAATAACACGATTAAGTGAATGTACCAGTGCATTTCACTAAGCACAAAAAATCTGCCTGCGTTTGGAAGGCAAGAACCTGTGTGTGTTTCCACTCAATTTTAGAAGTATTCGGTGCCCCTGGGTTTTCAGCTTGTTCATGCATTCGTCAAACCCATGTTTGTGGAGCGTGCTTTGCACGGAGCACTGTGCTCTGGGTTGGAGACACAGGGGGATCCAGCCCTGTGTGAATAATGCACACCCCTGTCCTCACCGAATTTACACGACATTGGAGTCCCAAACACACAAGACCGCAGATTAGAAAACACATCAATGATCATCAGTTTGACAGTGACTTAAACCACATTAGTTTCAAACCACGTATTCTCTTACACTGATTTCAACAGTCAAATCCACAATGAAATTGGTAAACAAACTCGTATGTTATTCTGGTCAGTGTTCTCACTTAGGTTGTGGAAGAATTTAGGAGTCCTATGTGTCCTGGGTTTAATATTATGGGATATTGAGATATTAAATTTAAAATAGCTAAATTTCATGCAAGTTACATAAAAACTAAACTTTTAGCAGTGGGTGCCAATAATTTAGAGGAAAAAGTAAATGAATGAAAAATTTCAAATTGAGAAAATTCTATTTGTTATTTTTTCTTATACATTAAAAAAAACAACTGCACTTTCTTTGATCCTGGAGGAAAAAGGTAACTTTATTTAAGGCATTCTTGCTTTTTTTTTTTGCTGTTTTTAATAAATAACTTTACTAGAGCAGTAATTTACATACTGTAGAATACTCTGAAGTGTATAATTCGATGGTATTTAGTAAGTTTACAGAATTATACAACCATTACCACAATCCAGTGCTAAAGCATTTGTAGTACCTCAAAAACATCCACGTGTCTGCCTACCGTCCCTTGCCCTTAGCCCCAGACAGCCATGACTCTACTGTCTGTCTCTTTAGACTTGACTTTTCTGGACATTTTATACAAATGGAATCATACAGCCCTGGCTGGTGTGGCTCAGTGGACTGAGTGCTGGCCTGCCAACCAAAGGGTCACCTGTCTGACTCTCAATCTACGGCACATGCCTGGGTTGCAGGCCAAGTCCCTGGTCAGGGCATGCGTGAGAGGCAACCACACATTGATGTTTCTCTTCTTCTCTTTCTCTCTCCGTTCCATTCTCTCTAAAAAATAAATAAATAAAAATAAAAAAAACAAATGGAATCATACAATATATGGTTGTTAGCATCTGGCTTCTTTCACCTAAAATAACGTTTTGAGGTTCATTCAGGTTGCAGCATGTTTCAGGGGCTGGTTCCTTTCAGTTGCTGACTGATGTTCATTCCGCTATATGGTGGCAACTCGTTTTGTTCCCCACTTGGCGGATACGTCTGTGATTATGTGGAGGTGGTAAGACAGATACATTGGTCTGCCTTCCACAGCAGCATAATGAGAAAATCACTGATGAGAGCCAATCTCTGATTATGTTTATGAAAAATGTATTCCTGGTATGAATTACTGACCTTTTCTGAATGGGTCATAACTGTGATCTCTCTGCGATATTCCCACGAAAATCGTGAATAGTAAATCTCATGCTGATGGAAAGAAGCATCAGTCACTTAGTCTTTCAGGTTGGACTTCGAAGATGTTTAACTCTTCACATTAATATTTGTAAAAAAGATTCATCTCCTTTGCTACATTTTCATCCCGAATGTATACATTTAGAATAAGGGAATTTTGATGATTATTAGGCCCAACAGTGATAACTGAGTTACTCTTCAAAACATGAGCTCTTCTTGGTAACACATTTTAGTGGCGCAGTTAATATAAAGCATGAATCAATCTGTACCCTGCAGCTAAAAATTAAGAGGGAGTGTATCTGAATGAATATGTCTTTTAGTTTTATTACTCTGTTATTTTCGTGACCTAAAGACTGAAACTGATGTAACTATTCATTTATTGACAGAATCAGGCACTAGTTTGAGCTTTTAGATTACAGAAAATCCAAAACCAAAGAAATGCCACACTTTTTTTTCTCTGCGATATTTTTAGGAGCTAGGCCAAAGTTATAAGTTAGCCAGGTTCCTACGAGGGGTGCTGTTCTTCTGTGTGCAGTCTATAGAGCAAATACGCATTCTCTAACACCGCGGAAGCGCTGACTTTTGTTAGGTGTCCCTCTCTCAGCAATCAGGACGCTTGAATGCAGTTCAGTCAAAGCTGTTTGCTTATGCACCCCCATCCACCCTGCTCTGTGCCAACTACTAAGAGGCAAATTCATTTTTAGGAGGTGACACTTGACAGCTTATGCTTAAAGATCTCCTTAAGGAGATTTCTCGAGTTGAGGAGAAACCTTCTATAAAAAAGCTGGCAGATTCTGGGAAACCAAAGAAAAGACAATATGTCTCTGAATGTCTGTAAGTGATGGCTGGAGTTGCAAGTTCCTATAGGGAGGGGGTGCACTAACCGAACTTGGAGGTCTATTTAATCAACAACTCGGTGTGCAAAGGATTTTTATCTTTAAATTTCTAAAATTCAAAACCAAGGGAGTCTAGGTTAAATAACACAGTTTTCCAACACTGACTCTGCTTCTTTGGAGATGAGTTTTCTGTTGGAAATATCAGAACAACTTGCTGGAACTACTGGGCGGGAACGCTCCTCTTTTGATTATCTGTTTGGGTGCATTGATCAGTCTCTGCTGGTAACTTCTTTTTTCTAACTCGGTACAGATTTGAACATTTCCAGGACAGGTGCATTTGTGAAGTTACACATTGACAACTTCATTCCGACTGTGTTCTAAGTCGTATGCCAGTCTCAGGAATCCATCTTCATCATTTCCACTTTCACAGACATTGACATGGGTGTAGACCTAGGAAAAGACTATATTTGCATGGAGCTATAAGCATCTTCTCATTGTTTTGATGAGCTCACTTACCATAAAATTGGTTCACCTGATCCATTCAATGTAAGGAATTTGGTTTTACTCAGAACTAGAATCTACTTCACACCCTTGTATTTTTCTAGTATCACCTGAATTTTGGTGGAATGCTACTCTCGGATAAGTGTGTCATCTTCCTGGAGCGAGAGGGTGGGTGGAGGCTGCCAAGTACAAGGTCCAGGATCCAGGCTGTTTGAGGCAGTGGCCACCTTGAGTGGACTCTAGCCATTGACCTGATTGATGGTCTGCATGGAAAAGGGCAACTGTGAAGAATGGCCACATGCTCTGCTCTAGATCATGAGTAGGAGAGCAATGGGTTGGTGAAACAAGTTCTAGTTCACGAATTGCATTTAAATTTTGTTGCAAATACTCTTATGTGCTTTTTAGATATTTCCTCCTACTTTTCCACCTTAGTAAATAATAATTATAATGAACTTTCTTAAGATGTTTAGATCTCCTTTGTTTCTATCTCCATATTGAATACAAAGCTTCATTGACTATTCTAGTAGCAGTAATAGTTCTGCCTACCTATCGGCAGCTCAGTTACCTGCGTTTTAACAATTCTGATTCCAACACTTTTTTTTTGCCATAGTTACTTGTTTTTTGGGGTGAGGGAGTCAATAGTTTGAACAGAGGAAAACAAATCCAGCTAATCGTAACTTCCTGTTAGTTCTGATAAACTCAGTGAACGTTCTTTGATTCTGGAATCTCAATTGTATTTTGCTTTCTCTATGGTACTCCTGGACTATAATTTTTAAAACAAAAGTATATAAATTCACCCTTTTTTAGTGTAAAGTTCTGTAGGTTTTGATAAATGGTTACAGTCATGAACCGCCTTCACCATCAAGTTATAGAACAGTTATATCACCCATCCCTCCCAAAATAAGTCCCCCCGGCTCCCCTTGGTAACTTCTCCCCAGTTCCTAGTCCCCCAGGTAACCGCTGGTATGTTTTCTGCCCCCACAGGATTTTCTAGAATGTTATATAAGTGGAACTGTAGAGTAGCCTTTTGGATTTGGCTATCTTCAGTCAGCCTGATGCATTTGAGATACATCTGTATTGTTGTATTAGTAGTTCATTCTTTCACACTGATGAGTAGGATTCACCTGTTGAAGAATATTTGAATTTTTTCTAGTGTTTGGCAATCATAAACATTTGTGTTTTATGGAACAAACTCTTATTTCACTTGGGTAGACCCCTGGAAGTGGGATTTCTGAGCTGTGCGCATGTGCCTGTAGGACACTACCCAAGTGGTGCCCTACCTGGCGGCATCTGTTTCAGTCCCACCAGCGACACACAGGAGCTCCAGCTCCACAGCCTCACCCGCACTTGATATTGTCTGTTTGCCCCTCGCTGTATACTTTCTAAACCAAAGTCAATTATGGTAAAGCTAAAATATTCCAGGATGAGTTTAGGAAGTTATTGCTATTGTATAAATTCCTGAGCTTTTTACTTTGAAAATATTTTATAAAGCCACAAAAGAAATTTCCCAAAGGGCAATTTGGGAAATTGTCCTTATAAATGTTACAAATGACCGAGATATATGGCTCTGACATCTGCTTCTCTTTGTATGTTTTTCACTGACAAGTCATTGGTGGCTATTGAGTTGATTGTCAATGGAGAAGGTCAAAGCAGGAGGAATAAGGGACTGATTGGTGGGGGTACAGGAGTCACGTGGAGACAACTGAGCTTATCATTGACACTTTCAAATGGTGTCCTATAAGCACATGTACACAATAAGTTATGAATTTAAATCTCTTAAATTCTTTAAGTGGGTCAGATACTCCAAGTGAGCATTTTTTGTGTTAAACCCATTAGCCCTCATAGAACTCTATGGGGAAGTTACCATCATCATCTGAACTTTTCAGTTGAGAAAGCTGAACCCAGAGGAGTTAAACAACTTTCCCGAAGCCACCCAACTAGTGGGGAAGGAGAACAAAGTCTTGTGGGCAGCACCGACGTCGTCCAAAGCCCCTGTTTTTAAGCCATGATCCACACTACTTCTGCTCATGAAGCAGATCTATTAGGGCAGCAATGTCTGCTCAGGTCCCTGAAGGACACAGCTAGGAGCTCACATCAGGAGGTACTTGACTTACTAAGGAAAACTCTGATGACTAAACTAGCCTGAGCCCAAGAAACTAGGCTTGGATATCCAATCAGAATGCGGCAGGAGGCGAGGTGGTGAGTAGGGAAGAACCAAGAGACTCACTGGTTGAGATCCAGGGCCATTATGAACTGACTGCCTTTGTGTAGTTGTGCTGAGCCTCGTTTCCTCATCTGTAAAGTGGAACTAATACCCTCAACCTCTCAGGCTGTTCGCGAGGATTATTAAAGGGAGCACCACTGGCCTACGTGTGGTGGGCACGCAACAGACCCTGGGCCCTCTTCCCCACCTTCCCAAATGGGAAGGGGTCTATGTGATTCCCTCCAACCCAGCCTTTGCAGTTTAGTTGCTTTAGGAGCACTGGGTGAAACCTTCGGCTTTTTTTTCAAAATTATACCCATGAACTGTGAAGATAGATCATTTTATTACAAAGATACCTGGATTTGGGATCAGTCCATCTGGGTTCAAGTGATGAAGTCAATTTATGACCTTAGAAAACTTGAACCACTGGTCTGTGCCTTGGGTACATTATATATACGTGCATAGGGATGGAAATGGAGATATAGAGATAGTAACTACAGACAGTGTATTATAATGATTGATTCTGAAAGTGTGTGGAAAGTGATTTCTTGGTAAATGACACAGTGCTTTATCACAAGTCTACATTTGTATATTTTTTATACCCATATTTCAATACTTTTCCCCCCAAACTAAATCACTTTTATTTCATATTTAACAACTTTCATAGCACTGGCTATGATATAAATACGTGTGAATATACAAATGAGTAGCATTTGCAAATGAACAAAATTAATTCCACTTTTAAGATTTAGATTATTACTTGAAAACCGTTATTAATTGGTCTCAGCATTACCACGCATGTCTTCTGACATCTCTGCATCACTTTTCAGGTAAAGCGCACAGTCACCTGAGATTTAGCTAGCTGACACTGGATGTCACCATTGTGCTGTGAAATGTGGATGCAGAACAGGTATGCTCTTTACTGTTCAGGAGACAGTCTCTTCATGGGTTTGGAGATGTGTTAGCTTTGTCCCCTTTATAACCTAATTACCCTTGTAGCCCTTTCATGGTAAACTGTTTCAGTTTCTGATGTTTAAGCTCTATATGGTCGTGATCAAGAATGATGAAACAATATGCAATATTGTTTGCTCAGAACTGAGAAGCTGGAAACTCAGGAACGGTGTGCAAATCAATCAGGGCTCTCGGTTGCAAAGCTGAGTAATTGATTCTGGCTAACTTAAGCAGAAAGGGAATTTGCCGGAAGGATATGGAGCAGCATCCAGAATTGGTGGGAAAACTCAGTTTGGAAATGGGAGAGTCTGGTGTGCTGGTCCCTCGGCAAAGATCAGGCTGTAGGAAAAGCAGGTGTTCCTGCCACTGGACTCAAAGTACCACCCTGGGCCAGCCCCCCTCTCCCCAGAATAATCACAGGGCTTTCACTGCCTCCGGCTTCCACAAGCCCAATGGCTGATCCCTTACTGGCCTTTCCAGGTGAGAGTACTCAGTTGGCTGGGTCTGAGGGTTGTACTTGTGCTTCCAGGGAGGGAGGGAGGACAGGTAAGGGACCTTTGCTGCAGAGACTCCTACAGGTGGGGATTCCGTGTATCTGGGGAGGAGATTCAGGTGCCGAACAGTGAAAACATGGGGAGCATCCACCAAGGGGCTTATCTATCAGCACCCATGGAAGTGAGTTGAGAAGGCTACTGTGCAGTCGGCGGCACTTGGTGGCCCTTCCCTGGGCTGGCCTGGAGTCCCTTGTTCTTGCCTTGACTTGCTGAGCTCAGCCTTCCCTTCAGCCCAAAGGCCTCCTTTACCAGCCAGAGTGAGAGCTGCTTTAAATGGCGGTGGAGACAGCTCCTCAGGCAAATTGGAAATCTTACATTTCAAGCCATTTGAAAAAAAATCCCTGCTACATTAAAAGAAAAAAAAAGGTGGGCCAGGCTGTGTTCCTCTTTCTTAGAACACTAAGCAAATTCCAGCCTCTGTTCTTGCTCCTTCCCCCTTTGCCTGGAATCCTCTTCTCCCATATGGCCACATGGCTTTGCCTCTCTTTATTCAAGTCTTTGTTTAAATGCCACCTCTTCAGATCAGCCTTCCCTTATTTAGCACTTCCTTTTGTTCTGCTCCCCTGTTCTGCTTTCCCTGGTGACACTTGTCATCACCTCTCATTGTGCTCCCTGTGTCCTGTATTCTTGTTTTGTTTGATGTCTGTCTCCCAGCCTGTACTCAAAGTCCCTGTACATGAAGGCAGGGTCTCTGGCTCACCTCTGCAGCCACAGCCCTTATCACAGCTGTGTTCTGTGAACACTGACTACGTGAACCACTGAATTAAGGATTAAATAAAGAAAAGAAACACTTTGGTTAGAATCTCTAGGATATAAACAGTGCCTGCATTAGTGTCCTAGGGCTGCTATGACAAAGGCCACAGAGTGCTCTTAACAGAGTCATTGCTTGTCTCACAGTTTTGGAGGCCAGAAGTCTGAGACAAGTGTTGGCAGGGGTGGTTCCTTCTGAGGGGTGTGAGGGAGCATCTGTTCCAGGCTTCCCACGGTCAAGCTTCTCGTGGTTCTCTGGAGCTCACTGGCATTCTAGGGCTTGGAGAAGCATCGCCTTGATCATTGCCTTCCGCTTCACCAGGTGTCTTCCCCAAGTCTGTGTCCTCCCCAAGTCCATGTCCTCCCCAAGTCTGTGTCCACACTTCCCCTTGTAATGAAGACACATGTCATACGGGATAAGGGGTCCACCCTAACTGCGGGATGACCTCATCTTAACTAATCACCTCTATGGTGACCCTATTTTCAAATGAGGACACATCTTGAGGTACTGAGGGTTAGGACTTCAACACATGAATGGAGAGGGAACACAATTCAGCCCATAACAGTGCCTTGTATGGGTTTATGGTGTACCGGGTAAATCATTCTTCTATCATGAAACAGACGAGTAGGTTTATTCTGGGTGACCAGTGGTGTGTTACTTTATCACAATCCACAATAATGTGTGTGCATTGCTTTGTAAATTGTGAAGTATTAGATGATAGGATAATCAGTTGGGGATGTTGATGGATGATTGATCTCTTCTCAAGAAAGAACCAATATCATGCATTTTCTAGTCTCAATTCCCCGAGACAGATTTTCTTTTATAGCCCAGCTTGGTCTGCACACCATTCAAAAACATTACCTGATGCTTCTCTGGTTTCAGCCTAGTCACTCAATTGACAAACACATACAAATCATTTATTATGTGTTAGGCACTCTTGTAAGTGCTTGACAAATGTTACCTCAGATAATTCCATGCAGTTTATTGTTTACGTTATTTGTTATTAATGTTACTGATAGTATCTGAAATTTACTGCTAAGGAAGCAGAGGCCCCGAGAGATGAAGGGCCTGGCTCAGTATCACACATCTTCTGAGCAGCAGGGTCCGGCCACGAAACCAGATAGTCCAGCTCCAAACCTGTTCTTGGTAGAAAGCTCTTTCTTCACAGAGAGTCTCATGGAAAAATTCACTATGTGACTGAACAAAGCCAAGCTGCTTTGGTTCACGAGGAGCCAGCAAAGCTCTGTGGGCTCAGCCCCCACCCCCGCCCCGCCCAGAGTCCTGTTTGCAAAGCCCTGGTCTAGGAAATAACGCGTCTTGGACGGAGGCCACTTGTAAGCCGTCTTCAATCCACTCTAGCATAAAACAAATAAAATTTGTTTCTCACTTTAATTAACTGATTGAGTTTTATTTTGGAAGTTTTATCTGCCTAATCTACTTCTGGCAGAAATAAAATGCTAAGACGGATTTTCCCCAGGATGGTAATGCCATATGGCAATTTGGACTTTGTGGGCTTCCGTTCCCCTTGGGTTTCTTTGTATAAATCGAGGACTGTGGTTGCGCAAGTTTTTCTGAACCAAAGAGAGACAGGGAATTTGATTTTATATGAATAGGCGGGGTTATAAACTGTGCAACCAGCTAGGTATGAACTACACTCCACCGTTATGGGCGGCTTATCTTCTGTGGTCATCAAGGGTTAGCAACAGGGGAGTGGGAGGAGGAGAAGGGGGGAGAAGGTACAGAAAATAAGTAGCATAGACAGTAGATAGAAAATAGAAGGGGGGGCAAGAATAGCATGGGAAATATAGAATCTAAAGGACTTGTGACACATGGTCATAAACTAAAGGGGGGGTAATGGTGGGGACGGGAGGGTAGGGTGAAGGGGAATGAAAGGGGGAATAGAACAACTGTAACAGCATAATCAATAAAAAAATTTTAAAAAAAGAATATTAAATAATATAAGTAGCAATATCAAGTTACTGTCAGCCGAGTGCCTTCTACAAACGGGTGAAAAACCCCTCATGTTTACAACTCTAGGTGTTCCCACCCCTATGTTACAGGTATGTAGTTGAGGCCAGGATTTTATGGAACTTGTTCGAAATGGCCCAACAATGAGCAGAAATAGCAGCGAATAAGGAGGTGCATTCCTGGATATTAAGAATAAAGGACACAAAAGAAAATATATTTTTGGTTATGTAACATGAGGCCCGTTGTGATTTTTAGGTTATGAAAGACTGAGAGAAATCAGTGGGGCCTGTTCTTAAGAGCATTACCTGCTATGATGAAATGCCTCTTATCATTTGTTATATACACGTTATATAACATAGTAAAAAAAAAAACCCAAACGAGGTAAATCCATCCAATGGGACTACAGATCAAGAAGGATTGAACTGGAGAACAAAAAGCAACTCAGACCAAACTGATGTTTTGCTTGCCTCTGTTTTCCCACTGGTTTTGCCCCCACCCCCTGCTGCACCCTCACCTAGGAGATTTAGGGGAAGGACCAGATAATGGTACATAGATGAAACGTCACTTGTCACAGGTATCCTGTGACGCAGCTACTCCACTCTGCCCTTGGTAGTGTTAAAGCAACATGGACAGTATGCAAATGAATGGCCAGGGTGGGAGCACTATATACTTTATTTATGGACACTAAATTGGAACTCTATATAATTTTCATTTGTTGTGCAATATTATTCTTTCGATTTTTTTTCTGAATGGTTGAAATTGAAGAGCCATTCTTATTTCATAGGCTGTCTAAAAAAAGACAGGAAGCCAGCTCGGGCTCCTGGGCCCGGGTGTACTGACCGCTCCACCACTGGTTCCAAACACCTGGCTGATTGTCTCTATGGGTATTTCTGTTTTCTCTTTTAAATTTTTTATTAGCGTCATTGAGGGCACCCTGGTTAATAAAATTATGTAGGTTTCAGGCATACAGTTCTGTAATTCATCATCTGTATATTGTATTGTGCGTTCTCCACCCCAGGTCAAGTCTCCTTCTATCACCATTTATCCCCCTTTCCCTCTGGTTATCACCGTACCTTTGTCTGTGTCTATGAAGTTTTCTTTTTCTTTTTTTTTTTGCTTAGTCCCTCCACTCTTTCCACCCAGCCCCTAACCCCCTCCTGTCTGAGAGCTGTCAGTCTGTTCTCTGTACCTACAAATCTGTTTCTATTTTGTTTGTTAGCTTATTTTGTCCTTTGAGCATTTAAGTGTTGTTTTGGACCAAGAACCTCATCCCGGAAGACACTTAAGAGGACCCAGGAACAGAATTACTTCCACTCACATTCTGCACAGCAGACGTGCAGCTGCCAAAGCAGCTTTGGCCCAAACAAATAGAAGCCATCACGGCTGTCTAAGAAGAGGATTTAGAATAAAATGGAAAATTCTTGGCATAGTCTGTCAATTTCATTGAAGATTAGAAGATCAATGCAAAACTCTGACTTATCCCCAGAAACTCTCTAGTTGTAAAATGCTAGTAAATATGAAAATGCTTTGTGTGTTTTAACAGCACAGGCTATTGCTAAATTTTAAATATTTTTGTTTGTTATTTTTTTCTCACTAGGGAAGCCTGCTTTGTTGCAATGGAAACACCCTTGAACTTGGTGTCTGAAAGATAAAGGTTTGAGTTTCAGCCCTGTTAGTTTTACCGTGATCTTTGGTAAGTTAACATCGCCTTTGGGAGTCTTGGTTTCTTTATCAGTAAAATGAGATTAATAATCCTACCTTGCAGGACTTTTTGTGTTATTTTATTTTTTAGTTCTTTACTCTTTATTATGGAAAATTCCCACAGAAACAAAATAGGTGGAAGAGTAGGAGGAAGCCCAGCTGCCCAGTTGTAACAATTGCTGCCATTTCACCCAAACTTCTTTCATCTATACTCCACCCATTTTTCCTCTGTATTAGAGTATTTAAAGCAGTTTTAAACGTAATATTATTTCACCTGCAAATACTTCAGAATGTATGAGTATGTGATTAACAGAAAAGATTTTTAGTTAAAGACTGTCATAAATTCATTATCTCACCTGGTAAAATTACAGTGATTCTTTAATAGCCTCCATTATCCAGCCAGTGTTAAAACTTGCCCAGTTTTCTAAAAAATGTTTTTATTTAGTTGGTTTATTTGAATCATGAGCCAAAGACGATTTATATATTTATATTTGGTCATTTGTCTCTTAGGACTCTTGATTTACAGCAATTTCTCTTCGCTTCATCTTACTTCACATAATTAATTTGTAGGAGGAAGCAGTTATTTGTCCTAAAATATTTCATATAATCCGGACTTGGCTGATTGCCACCTTTACCCTTGTAGATTCATGAAACGTTTTCCTCTTGTTCAGATAATTACTGCTGTTCAATAGAGGCCTGATTAGATTCAAGCTTGCTTTTAAAAATATCATATTTCATAGGTGATCCTTTCTGTTGGTGAATGTACCCTATGTAGAGGACAGAATGTCTGGCTGTGTCTTTTTTACTTACACGAAGACTGACTAGTGGGGTCCCTCAGGTTAACGCATCCTTCATCCGCCTCTCACCTGGTGTTTTTAGTGCTGGTTGATAACTGTTGCTTAGATATCTGTTGCTTATTTCATAGGAGTTGCACAATGTAGGTTTTCTAGTTCTATCAATTCCTCATATACGTTAGCAGGAATTACAGTCCACACGGTAAAGGCAAGATGAATGCTTGTTGGTGACCCCCCACCCCTTTTGGGGGGCTAATTGTTTGTATAATGGTTGGTCCACCCCCACTGAGCTGGATGGTGAGGACCAGTGTTGCTTTCTCTCTTGTCCTTATGATTTCAGGAATTTAAAAAAATTGAGACAACTCGACGTGAACAATAATAAAGTTAAAAAAATTGTAAACATACTATGAATTTTACTATATAAAAATTATATAAAGATGCATAAAAAAGTAAAAAAAAAACCCAAACTGTTAGAACTAGTAAGCAAATGCAGTAAAGTTGAAAGATAGAAAATAATTTTAAAAATTTAAAAAATTTTCTATGTTTCAGTTCCTTACAGTCATTCCTCTTTAGGTTGGTATTTTCGGTGTTTTATTCAAGCAGGATTTGATTACTTCTTTTGCTTTCTGGTATGACAGGGTATCTCGGGCTCACCTGATCTATTTCTTGCCCCAGATCTGAATCAAGAAGGCCTGGTTTCTTTTTAGTAGAAAATGGTATGCTGAGGCCACAGTCTGGGCACTAGGAGTGTTAATTGCTATTTTTCAGTGGCTAGATCTAGAATATACATTTTTAAAGGAAAAGTAATTATTATTTTGTATTCATAATTTCAGTTTGTTATAAGGCTTTTATGTAACATTTTGTATTCTAATTTGTGTATTTTTTTTACTTACTCTAAAAGTCTTGTTTCATAGTGATGTTAAGCCAGTGACTTCTCGGCTTTATTACGCATTTGTGTGGGTGAGTGCAGGCACATGTCTGCACATACATGTAAACATTTCAAAATAACAGTATCAATATTTCCACTAACAATATTATTAGTAAGTGTAGTTTCAGATCCTTTTGCTATTCTTTTTGTTCTTAGGACCCTGCACACCTGGGACAAATAGTCCCTGGTGTGTGTTTGAAAGTCCCTTCAAATAATACATGTGGATATGCCACCAATTTGATATACAGATATTTCTTATTCTGAAGGATTTTTTTCATGTTCACTTTATTTTATTTTAAAAATAGGTAGAATAATTGCATTGTCCAATGTTAAAACTATAAATCACAGATCATCCCCTTCCATCCATCCCTTCCTTCTTATAGGAATTATGATGCTCTGTATCCTGTTCTGCACCATGCTATTTCACTGAGCAATGCCCCCCAGAGAAGAGTTTGTAGCTGTAGGCAGTCTCTTCAGCCAGTCCGCTTTTTGTGGGCATTTGAAGTTTTCTTAACCTTTTACTATGACAAATAATGTTCAGTAAATGGCTTTCTAGGCTATTGAGAGTTAAATCAAATGTAGTGTATAAAAGCTCTGTGTTAGGTATAAAGTGATATACATGTATATATATATACATGCATATAAGTGATATATGCATGTATATATATAATTTTGTTATATTATTTTAGTTCCACAGATATTTATTAAGCCCTTACTATGTGCTAGAATATAAAGATGAAGAAGACGTGGTCTCTACGCAAAGTTTTATAATCTAATATAATGTGGAATAAAAAGCAAAAAAATTATGTATTTCCTTCCCAGATTATATTGAAGTTTCTAATCAATGACCGTTTTAGCAGGTATTGCTTTCATATTAAATTAATGCCTGGATTTATTGATACACAGGTGTCAATCATTAAAAACATTTTCTACTCCACAGTACGTGACGGCAATGCCAACACAGTTTACACACCATACACTCACATTATCAAAAGAGTCCGTTTGTATAACCCATTTCTGTTTTCCTAGAGCCGGAATTCACGATGACGACAGTAGCCGTGACCACAGAGGCCCCCTCAAGGGGTGAGACAGAAGATAGTTCTTCCCCATGTGAGTCCTCATCAGCTCACGTTATCGAAGAAACCGAGTATGTGAAAATGGTATGTGGGTGCCAGACCTCTTGTGAGCGTGACGTGACGGTTTGCAATCAAGTCTAGTGCAGGTCACTGGGCTTTGCTTCTCCCTCCAGAGAACATGTGAGGAAGAACAAACCGGCTGTGGCAAAGGACAGTCTTGATAACTGAGGCTGAAACACATGTTTGGCATTCTCTGCACCTTAGCATTTGGGGTGAAATTGAAGAAGGAGACAGGGGCTTTGGAGCTCCTAACAGCACTGAGTTTGTCCCACACGGTTTCCCTTGGCACTCCCTATGTTCGACATTGGTTTTTGGTGGTTTCGTGAGTGTTGCTGCCGTGTTCCCTAGTAGAAGTTTGCATTTCTTGCCGAGTTTCTGTCTCTTCTGACCTCATTTCGTCTCCTAGAGCAGGGTTGCTATCTGCCAATGGCTACATATCGGCATGTTCCGTCATTAAAAATGTGAAATCTTCTAAGAATCCAGTGGTAGTGGGTAACAGAACATATATTCTTATGAACTGTTTCTTAGAACAGATAAAAAATTTTGATATTGATGTTTGTAACATTTGTTTCTATTAATTCATCTTTGAGTATCTTACAATTCCAAAGGTCACCAAGACATAGGGTTTATCATTTCATGCATAAATTTGTATGGTCTCCACTTAGTAATTATTCTCCAGTAATGACTAAATAGTAATTATTTTATAGTAATTACTAGGTAGTAATTATTTTGTGGTGATTACTAAATAGTAATTGTTTTATAGTAATTACTAAATAGTAAATTAGTACTAAATTACTATATAGAAGAACAACTAAATAGAATTGAATACTAATTACTAAATAGTAATTATTTTGTGGCATAGTATTCATTCAGATTATATTTTGTTTGACTGAGAGTTATAAAGACCAAGTGCTCATTTGCTACACTCTAAACAATTTAGCCTTAATGCAAGTTAGATTGATGGTAGTTATTTAAATCTGAGATGGGTATATATTTATTACTCTCTGAATAAATCAAGTACACTGCTACTGGGATAGAAAATAAAAGTGATTTGACATTTGGAAAAACATTTTCTTCTCTTCTAGATTCGAACTACCCTGGAAAAGATCCGAAATCAAATGTTTAAAGATGAAGCCGGACATAACAGTACAAAGCACAAACTGGACGCAAAGGTAACGAATTTGTCAACATGTACTGGTTTTATTTCTTCAGTAAATAAGCATAAAGCCATATAGAAATTATTCTCTTTAAAGCTTTGAATGATGACTATTAAATATTTTATACATAGTTAAAGTATTTAAATATTTATATTTAAAGACCTAAGTACTTAAAGATGTTAATGCATGAAATATTTATGTATGAAATATTTAACCCTGGACCAGACCTTACCTGAATATTTGAAACTGGGCTTACTTATCTAAAGTATATGGGAAGATGTCAGCCCAGCCAAGATACATAGCTGCAGCTTTTCCCAATGACAGACAAAGGTCCAAGCTTTTACGGTTGCCTGAGTCACAACATGGGCATGCAGTTAAAGCCATTACCCTGAGTGATAAGACAACTGCTAAGTTTAAAGGAATCCTGCCCCTCCATGGCCAGCCTCATATTCTTAAGGTTGAGGGATCTGCACTCAGCCTTGCCTGGATTGGGCCAAGTTCAACTTCACCTGAGCCAAGCGCACATTGTCAATACCATGTAGGATGGTCATGGAGAACACCAAAGGTAAGGTGTGACACATAAATATAGTCTCCTTTATTATTTTCAGCCCCCCAAAACGAACACAGCTAGCTTCATTTATTTTCTTTAAATTAAGTGTTCTATGTTCTGAAACTGCAAAAAAATTAAAAAGCGGCTAATGTTTGTGAATGATGGGAGAGGTCAAAAATTCAGTTCTGGTTCTGTTGAGTTATTGGACCTTCAAGTGGAGGTTTCTAGTCGGTGAGCTGGCTTTCTGGTTCTGGAGTTGAGGGTAGAGGTCTGGGCTGGAAGGTCCAGGTGTCAGGGTAGAGATTTTGTGAGTAACAGTGGTACTTGCACTTCTGAAACTGGAGATCACCACGCATGTGAGTGCGGACAGAAATGAGGGACAATCTAAGTTCTGAGTCCTGAGATTTCCAACATCGAGACGTTGGGAAGAGGAGAAAGAATCATCACAGGAGACTGAGAAGAGAGTCTAGTGGATTTAGGGGGATGTACAGGACAGAACAGAGTCACAGAAAACAAGAAAAGGTTTTCAGAAAGTGGTATGGGGCCACTGGGTCAAACGGTGTCCCTGGGTGAAGTAAACTGAGGACTGAACACTGACCACTGGTTATAAGAATGGGGAGGTTTGGGGGACCCTGACAGAAATAGCTTCTTGGGAAGGGAGATGAATTGTGTTGCCAGTGTCTCCGTTTGGCCATCTCAAATCGAGCATCAAAACACCAGCCCCTTCCCCGTCAGTATCTGGGTGTTGTTGCAGCAAGATTTAACTATAATGACCTAGGGCTCTGCTGTTAAAGAACGGAAGTCTGTACACCCAAAGCCTTAAAGTGCCAAAACTTCAATCGTCCGAGTTAGGAGTAAGGAGGAGTTTATTGACCGAGAAGGCAAAAACCGAGAAGGCAGAAGACCTGAGGCACCTCAAATCTGTTTTCCGAATGTATGGAGTTCAGGCTTCTTTTAGGTCAAGGGAAGGGAAATGAAATGGGAAGACAAAAGTTCTTCCATCAAATATTCTTTAATAAATTTTTTAAAGAAAGGTATGGCTACTCTGTATATGGAGAGTGAAAAGGTGGCAGGGGTATCAAACTCATTTTCACCAGGGGCCACGTCAGCCTTGCAGCTGCCTTTGAAGGGCTGACTGTAACTTTAGGACTGTATAAATGTAACTGCTCCTTAACTAGGGGCAAGGAGCTCAGAGCTGCCGCTGGGTAGAAACAAGATACAAGATGCCTGGCTGGATGAGACAAGGCGGAGGGCCGGATTCGACCTGCGAATCTACCCATGTTGTTTGTCCATTATGATTGCCACCTGTGCCCTAGGGTCTGAAGTAGAAAAAACAAAACCATGACAGTTACTGTAACTCTTTATATGCACTAAATTATTTTAATCTTTTATTTCTGTAAGTATAGCGTGTTTGTTGTACTAGAAAAGGTATAGGCTTTATTGTTAAACAAACTGGGATTCAAATCCTGGTCCTGGCAATTATTTCGGGTACAACCTTGGCCTTGTTAGTTAAACTCTCTAATTTTCAATTTCCTCATCTGTATAGTGGACATAATACCTTCTACTGTTCTGCGTATTCAGACAAAGGAGTGTATATAACACAGCTAAAAGATTATCTCACACATAATAGATGCTTAATAAATAAAAGTTATTATAATTATAGGGGATATATCCCCTATATATTAAGCATATATATATATATATATATATACACACACACATACATATATATAAGCAATTACACACACACACACACATATATATATATATATATAAAATTGCTTAATAATTCCTTAGTCTGTCTTGAAATGATTTGGAAGAGCAGAAAGAGCCCAGGGTGGACGACCAGGAGGCTATATCCTGAGCTCTCCCACTCACTTGTTATGTGAACTTGGGCTCCGCCCTTCAGTTTTCATATCTGGAAAACGGATGTGATCAGGTTAGATGGTTTGAAACCTGAAACCTTTCTACTTCCACATGTCTTTGATTCCAAGTGAGATTTATTTTGTGCTACGGTTATATTTCCAGTGAGCTAGAGTTTACATAGAGTTACAATGGTAGTAACATTCAATTCTGACATCTCTGATTGGGAATTTAAAAGGATGATTACAACGAAGCATCATTAAACACTGAGTATTGTTAACTACTGTGTCTGATTGTATTAGTTGGTAATGCAATGTAACCAGAATTCACTTATGGATATAACTTAGATTATTTAAACAAAACTTGCCTTATAGATATTACTTATTTCCTAGAAAGGACTTAATGGTAGAATTTATTTAAAACTATATGGAATATAAAAGGCATAAAAGATGTACTCCTGCCTATTCTAAATATAAGAATCTATTCAAGTTTAAGCAAAGACAGAGGCCAGCTGCATCATCTAGACATCCTTACTGATATGTGAGATTCAGAAGATTTATTTGTGCTGACGGGAATCCCCCGGATACAAGTGGTGCGGACCGATCGTTACTGTTGCCAGCGCTTGTACAGGAAAGTCGGGTCTATGATTTTCATGCTTGCTCATTTCAGTGCTGTCGAAACATTCAAAATGGCTCTGGCCCTGCTGTGGACCCCTTGTGTTGCAGTCTGAATCTGCTCATGGAAAGAATGAGAGGCAAAGACCTACAGCTCTTAGAAATGAACAGAGAGAACGAAGTCTTGAAAATCAAGGTATGACCATAAGGAGTCATTTCTAACTTTGTAGTTCAAGCCTTTTTTAAAAAAATTTATTTATTTTAATTGTTTTTCAAGTACAGTTTTCTGTCTTTTACTCCCATCCCAGCCCACCCTAGTTCAAGCCTTTGACCCAACAGTGGAGATTCGTAGGTCCGTGAAGGCAGACACCCACACATCCACAGAGCTGCACCTGTGCTCATGTGACATAGAGAAGTGCTTGACATTTCATACAGTAACTCTCACTGTTTTATTGGGGAGCCTACTTTCACCATTAAAAGATCTTACAAAAGTTCAACAATGACAAACTTTAAGTTGTGCCAGTCGAATGATATCTAGAGATTTGCTGTACAGCATAGCGCCTCTACTTAATACTATATGGGACTCTTGAAAATTTGTTAAGAGGGTTGATCTCATGTGAAGTGTTCTTACTACAATAAATTTTTAAAAAATCTTCACATATTTAATAAATGTTAATTAGGCCATTCATATTCATGTCTTATTATTTTGTTTAATATATTGTTGAATGCTTTATATTTTCCTTTTTACTATATATTATATATTATGCACACATTATATATAGACACATACTATATATTATATAGTCATATCCTGTATATTATGTACAGCATACATTATATTTATGCAATGTATTGTATATGTACAGTCCTGCATGACTGTCTTGTTACGTAAATCTTTGCAGCCATCCTTGGTTATTTCTTTAGGTTAAATTCTTATAAGATTCAGGACGCTTTAGATTTATTGCCCTTAATGCTTCGGTCTTATCTATTTCAAGCACTGCTATTTCAGGAAAATACATCTTACAGTACTGTCATGGACATGGATGATGAAATGTTTGCAAATGACTGTTTACGCTGATGGGCACGGTTCCCTGGGAGCCCTGCATGATGGGCCCTCCCCAGTTCTTGTCTCGCTGACGACAGATGAATTCATGGGAGAGATGATAGAAAGTTTGTTTATGAAATGCACTTGAGCACAAAGCTGCGAGTGGGCACCCAATTAGTCCGGGTGCCCTGACCATTGGGATTTTATGGGTTTGATGCTTGTCCTTGAATATTGTGGAATATTGAATATCTAAGCCAGCTTCTAGGTTCCCCTCGCCTTCCCTTCTCCAGACCTTGGGGTTAACATGCAGTTTCAAAGGCTTTCTTTCCCAGACAGTGGAAATGATACGCACAGAATTTCAAAGGCTCCCCTCCTCCTGTGCTATCATGGTTTTTCTTGTGATTTTTGGAACACCCGGTGACCCTATCTGGCCAGGCTCAGGACAGCTAAATTAATGGGTGAGACATGTCTCCCTTCCCCTCCCTGTCTTGGTTCACTATCTATGCTGCCTAACAGGCACCGTGGAACTCTTTGAAGGGCGAGGTCTATACAGGCAGGGCCCCGATGTGCGTGGAGCTCTGGTTTGGCCTCACAAAATAGCCCCACTGGAGGCGGGGTTTCTTGGTTTACACTTTCCTCTTCCTAGTTAACAGTGTCTTTTCTGCTGCCCATCGTCCCCATCCATGAGAGTGCAAAGGAGACAGTTACGGCCTCTGTGTTTTTAATTGCTCATCAACCTGTTCTGCCTTTAACCCCTTTCACTGTAAATGTCAAAACAGGCACAGTGACCTTTTTTTTTCTCCCCAGTTGGAAGCCTCCAGAGAAGCGGGGGCAGCAGTCCTGAGAAACGTGGCCCACAGACTATTTGAAATCTACGAAACACAGTCTGAAGAAGTTAAAAAGAAGCATGAAGACAGTAAACACTCTCTCCAGGTACTGAGCTAGCAACTTGTCTTTTGGAAAACTGCCCCCAGCCGGTCATGGCCCTCTTTTTGAGGAGTTAGAGGTGAAACAAGTGATGGCCACGTGACTTGATGAGCCCTGGGAAGGGCAGGAACCTGCTGGGGCCCGTCTGCCCCCAACCTCTGCTTGGCCAGCACCCAGGTGTGGCCATGCTGCTGTGAGGCACCCTCACCCAGAGCCCTGCCGGGTTCAGGTGGCAAGTGACCATGCACCCTGCCTGGAAGTCAGGGCTGTCCCAGGGGTCTCTGGCCAGTGCATTCTCTTCTGGTTCTGCCCTTGACCGACTAGCTGACTGAGGTTGCATTGTTCCACCTCGCTGGACTTGGATTTCCTTATGTCTAAATGAAAGAGTTGGGCTAGATAAGTACGGTTTCAACATATTTTTGACCCTAGAATACATCTCTCAGATGAAACAAATAAAAAACACGTGTGTGTAACCTACCTATTTTAACATATATTAAAATGATACATTTCCTATTTTAACGTATAAATTAAAATATAAAAACATCAGGGTGGGTACGCAGGTATATATGTATGTGTCTATCTGTTGCAGACACACACATATATTTTGTTCCTTTTTAAATTTGAAGTACATATCCCAGGGCCCATAAATGTGTATCTGAAGAATGTATCTAGGACTGGAAAAGAAAAAAACTGTGCGTGCGTGTGTACCAAATTGGGAAGCCCGTCCGTGCTGGGCTGGGTGCCTGGGTCTCCGCCAGCTCGGGCCCTAAGGAAACGCACTGGGGAGCACAGTGGGAATCCTTCTGTGGGGAACATGCCTTCCTGCTTCATCTGTGGGAGCTCCGGTCACACACTCCCAGGCAGGCAGGGTGCCACAGGCACCTGAGGGAAGGGAGCAGGCTGGTGAGGAGCCCGGGGCTGTGTGAGCCGGGAGCCCATGTCCCCTGCCCAGGGGACTCAGCCCCAGCCTGGGGTTGCCTGGCAGAGATGCCCACCTGCTGTTTCAAGGGAACCCAGGCACTGGTTTCAAACTGCACACTCTCAAAGTCTTAAATACACACACAGAGGTGAGTGTGCGTGTCAGTTAGGAGTCGGCCGAAGCACGCCCAGGTGTGGCCTGTCGGCGGCCGGTGAAGATGGTCTCCGGCACAACTGCTACCCGCCTGTATGCAGCGAGGATAATTATTCTGCTTTTCTGACCCTTTGGATGAAAAGTAAACCATTGTTTCCTTAGACATACAAGATTTTATTTTTGTTCTAGACAAGTTTTGTGAACAAAAGGTCACAAATGTTGCTTTTCTTAAATCCATGTCTCTCTTTCTCATACCAGGCCAGCTAGTGTGCTTTATAGCAGCAAATGTAAATGTTCCAGGGACAAAATTTGTATGTTGTTAAGTCTCCATTAAATATACATTCTCCATGTATAATATTAATTCTCCATAAAACCAGTCTGCCTGGTTTATGTGGAAGTCAACACTGAATTCAGATAGGAATTCTACAACAAGTGTGAATTATTCATTTGGGGGGTTACTCAGGAAATTGTAGAAGAAGATAATATCTGTACAGGTTTAATAAATTCATAGCCTGACAACTGTTTTTCTGACCACAGGTCAACAGACTGGAAAAAGAACAGGAGTTGAAACAACAGCTTGAAAATCTGAACCAAGCTGCAGAAAAGCTTGAAGAAAAGCAAAATCAAGTCGCAGCGTTGGAGAACCTTGTCCAGAGAATGGAAAAGGTCAGGCTGGGAGAACAGGAGGGGTTTCTTCCTGCAATTTAAAAAACAAAAGCACTGAGATAAATAAGGTGACATGAAGGAGTTCTTTTCTCAGCTCTTAAAACTTTAGGAAGTGCTCAGTGATGTTAACTTCCTTCCTGACACATATAATCCGTTCTGTACTGATAGGAATTGACCTTTACGAATACAGATACTGACGTCATCACTGTTACTTTCTCCTTTTAATACACGTGGGATCGAGAAAGGGGACCCAGCAGAGGCTGTGAATGAAACAGTGGAAACCATCGCAAAGTCTGGCTGTTACTAGTCATGATCTAGTCGGTGGGTCCCTGTAGCCACAGCATTTTTATGTGGGAGAGTCAACCAGGTGCCCATCTTGGGCCACCCCTGGCCCCTTCAGGTTTGTAAAAGCTGGTGGCTTAACCAGGACAGAGAGAGTTCACATTCAGAAACGACATTTTACAAAACTGGAACTTTCAAAACAGGATTTAGAGAAAGTGTTTGATAATAATGGGAAAGGCATATATTAAAAGTTGTTACAGTGTTCCTGCCCTGGCTGGTGTAGCTCAGTGGATTGAGCGCAGGCCTGGGAACCAAAGGATTGCGGTTCGATTCCCAGTCAGGGCACATGCCTGGGTTGCAGGCCAGTTCCCAGCAGGGGACGCATGAGAGGCAACCATACATTGATATTTCTCTTCCTCTCTCCTTCCCTTCCCCTCTAAAGATAAATAAATAAAACCTTTAAAATAAGTAAAAGTTATTACAGTGTTCCTAAATTTAAGTAGCTCTTACTCCAAATATATATAAAAAGGGAGCATGTAAGCTTAGTAATACTTGCCTTAAAAGTTAGAATTCAGAAAAATCAAGATATACTGGTTTGTTTTTTTTTTTACTAGTAGCAAAACAGACTCAGAAAATTGGCATCTCTGAATCTGGCTTGAGGGTAGATAATAACATAGGCACTGGCGTCTAGTACATATTTTCTAATAAATTTGTAATACTTACTATATTAATCCCTTGATTTGCCTCTGTTCTTTTCTGCCTTGTTTTATTTTATGAGCCTTCCTGAATCGGTGCCATTTCAGGAAAGTCACCTTGAAAGCATCCCAATTTGGTGTTCACATTTCTTGATTAATTTTTAAATATGTCTCAAGAATTTAATTTACAACACGGTGTATCTGGCTGAATTTGTAATCTTAGTCAATGTCTTATGAGTCAATCATGAAAAATAAATAAGCCCAACCCTAACTGAATCTAATAACAGTAACATACAGCCACATCTGTGTTGCATAGTGGGTCACTGAGTGATATACTTGAACCCGAGTCACTGGGCTGGAAGGTGCTCAAGTGTGACCGTTTACAATTATGATGTTTTGGGGAAGTTGCAATATTTGGATGAATATTCTGTAGCGTTAAAATATTTACCGTGTCATAAATAGTTGAACCACCTAAGATACACCAAGAATGCTTGCCTTAGCAAAGAAAGACAATTCTGGAATGCAAATAGAGTTGTTTAACCAAACAGCTTGATTAGCTATTTATTTAATTATTTATTTATTTAGTTAGTTAGTTAGTTTTTAGTCTTTTTCATACCTATTGCTTTGATTTACTTTAACCAGTTTGACATTTAAATGGAGACTTGCAGTCACCTAAAATCCAGTTAACACTGGGTCCGATTTAGCAGCCAGCTGGCAGTCCCCCAATATTAACAAAAGAACAATGGAATACACTTTTTATTTCCTAGAAACCCCAGGGAATCTGCACTTAATGTGAGTGGATGTCAGAAAGCTGGAATACCCTGGGGTGCTTAGGGATGCCCCCCTTCCCCCGCTCCTGAAGATAGTGGGTGTACCCCAGTGAAAGATGAAGAGGCTTGGGTATTGGCAGATTTTTTTTTGACAAGCAATGAGCACGCATTTGTCTTGACATTGACCCATCACGGTGGGCCGCCTCCAGGAGTGCTGTGACAAGGCGCTCCACGGTTCAGCAAGGCCTCGAAGTCACCTTCCGGAATCCCGGTTCAGTGACTTCTTAGAGTGCAGTCTATTGGGATGTCTGGGAGGCAGGGATAGGCAGCGAGGGAGTGGAAGGGCAATGTATAGGAATTTTTTTAAAGATGTTTAGTTCAAAGGTACTTTATGTTTATAAAACAAAGATGCAAATAAGTGAAACTTTAAGATGCAAAGCAAGGCAAACAGCCTCTTGGTTTAAGGAGATTCCTAGACTATAGGCTGTGATGAAGGTTTTCTCTGGTGCAGAGCCAGTGTCAGACTGAGGGAAGGGGGTGCTGAGACTTTTGTGCTGATAGGAAAAAGACAAGAGTTCAACAAGGAAATGAAAATTAGAAATGAACACGCACAACAAAGGCTGATAAATATGGCCCTGGTAGCGGGTGTCCCCCTGGAGAAGGACTCATTTTCTACTCACCAGTAAATAGCCATTAGTGGCATGAGGTCTGGTAATGAACACATTACTTAAACCTTCACCATCTGTCCCACTTCAATCAGGAATGCAGCGAGAATGAATTCCATAAACACAGCGATAAGCCAGCAAAAACGCCCAGTAAGAGCCTTTTAATATGGCATATGTTCCTTTTGCAGGCAGTGCAATTCAGTTGCATCGTATTTGTTTTCTAGTGTCATTGATTTAGCCCTATTAGAATTCCGGAGCTCAATGGCGCTTTTGAGATTGCCTAGTTCTCCATCATCATTTTTGTAAATGAGGATGGTGCGAACAATGACCCGCTCCACAGTCGTTCAGTTGCCGGTTTACAGTCCTTTCCATTATTCCCCTATCTTCTTTGGTGCTGGATAAAAATGGCATCCTTGGTTCCTAAGTCACTGAGATGTTAACATTCGGCCAAGATTTAAATCTATTCTGATCAGTAGGGCCAGGGATGCTTCTGCTCCCCAGAGGTGTGGTTTGGGAAGAACGTATTGCCCACTGGGTGGCGCTGTGAACTCCTTTACCTTCCTGGAAGGCACTGTCCCTGAGATGCTGGTCTAGTGCAATTTTCTGTGTTGCCGAAGAGGCAGCATTAAGACCCCTCACCAAGGCAGAACATTGACATGTCCAAATTTCTGGTCTGCTTGCACCCTGGTTACAAAGATCCACTATTCAAGTCCATTAAGAAGGATGCTTGTTAAACACCATTTTCCTCCTTACAAATTCAAAATATACTATTGGCGACGTGTTTCCTAATAGGCTCACAAGGCATATCTGTGCTCCCTCAGAAATAATTTGACCACAACTAGGGCTATACTGGAAGAACTCTTATGTCACAATTATGCTACAGAAAAATTTTTGAAAAAGTATAAATCTTAAAAGTAACTGCACATAAGGTATAACATGCTTGGCACCTTCAGATTTTTATGTATTGAAATCCTAATATGGTCCAGGTAAGTCTGAAGGCCTTTCACATGTATTATCTTCAGTCATTCCAGCTTTCAGTATAGCAGTTTTATTCCTGTCTTACTAACTTCCCAAGAACCGAAAATATGACTCGTGCAAATATAGAATAAATACGTGTCAGGTGTTGAAATCATGAATTAATGAGGGAACCAGTAAAATGGTAAAACTGATGTAAATAAATTGTTTTGAGGAACAGTGCCTAAGGAGAGATGACCAGGGGGCTTGCGTTTGGAGAGGGGTGGAGGGAGGCAGGAGATGTTTATTATTTGATTAGTAGCCTATGTGTCCCTTTGAAAAAAAGGGACATGGGATAGGATTACTAGGTTGGATCCCTTGCTGGTTAATACACTTTAATGCAATTAATCCATAACCTTTGGGATTATCTTTCAAAATGGCAGACATCTATAAATTAACACTCAACTTCAGAGTCTCGGCTCTAATCAAATAAAAAATAATGAAAATCAAATGCAGGGAAATTCTCCAAGAGCATTAAATAATCTTGGGTTAGATTATTAAACAGTGACCCAATATGACATGCAAACCACATGCTGTGTATTACTTTGATTTCTAAGTTTGGGTTGTTTTTCGTTAGCAGCAAGAAGGCCCAGAGTGATGAAAGCTTTTGGCAAAAAGTACACAGCCACAGAGTTTCCAAACCAGCTCAGTGCTTGTCCAAAGTTGTTCCCATGTTTTGGCTGTACAGCCTTGCCTTGTATTTCACCCACAGAAATACTGCAGCAGGAAGGAATTTAAACAGCAATGTAAAACAATTTCTGACTGTCAAATATAAACAAGAACACAGTTATCCCAGTTTGGTTTCTCATGGACTTGTCTCTTTTCCTTTGGGATGGAAAGAGTTTGGCTTAATAATGACATTAAGGCTTATTCTTTCTCAGTGTCATTTCTCTTACATCCTAATTAGGAAGAGACTTTATCATTTGTGACCTTGACCCTTCACTAAAAATGTAGCTACTACTTTTCTACTATTCGAGCAGGTAGGTGTCACGCTGAGGGCAGTGGTGTCCTTGGATCCTGACCACTCAGTCTAAGGGGAACCCCCTGTAATGGCGGGAGAGCCGGTGCGGAGAGATGCAGCGGTGGGTGGGTGGGGGGACTTCAGGGAGGGGTGCATTTGGACATCCAGGCAGGTGAGGAGGGTGAAGATGGCCGGAGAAGATAACCTGATGTTGAACTCCCTGAAAACTACTGGGGCTGGTCGTAACAGCCCCTTATAAAGTTACCTCTTTAGCTGAAGATACATTTCTGTGATTGCAAGAAGCATCTTTTTTGAACAGTTTGCAAGAATGTCTTACCACATACACACATATTGAGAGAGAGAAAAAAGGAGGAGAGGAGAGAAGGGGAGGGGAGGGGAGGGCAGAGTAGGGGAGGAGAGGGGAGAGGAGAGAGAGAAAGGTATAAGCAAAAACTGTATCTTATTTTCCCCTAGGAAAAGAGCACACTGCTAGAGAGAAAACTGTCTTTGGAAAACCAGCTGCTGCAACTCAAATCCAGCAAGACATGCGCTAAAAGGTTTGTGAATGTGCGCCCTAAGCAGTGGAGGTTCCTGGTATCTTTTCTCCTTACAGGCAGAGCAGGCCTGTAAGTATAGGGATGCGGAGAACTCTCAGCATTAGCAGTTGTACGCCTCCCCTTCCCCACCCACTGAGAAATGGGGGAGGGGCGGGGTTCACTGGGGCTCAGGGGAACTGTGGGCAGGTCAATCCTTCTGAAGGCTGAGGACAGCCCCAGAAGGTGAACCTCTAAGAGAGTTTCGTAGCGCTGCACCTTTCTGTAGGGAACGAAGGAAATGCTGTGGAAGACATCCGTAGGTCTTCAGAATTACTTACATATAACTTCATCCTAAATAAATCTTCCACTCATGTTATTTTTTTTCTTAAATAGAAGACTTTCATGCTAGAAAACTCCAGGCTGATATAGTGAGCCTTCCATTAAGAGTTCAGACAGTCTGGGTTTGATTGTTTTCTTTAAAAACATGATTTTTTATTGATAATAAGGTTTTTTGTTAGTCTTTGAGCCGAAAAACTGTAGTCATTTTGAAAACCAAACTGATCTGTTCTTCCTGCTCTATCATGTGGGAGAAATGGTTATAAAGAATCCTCCAGAAGTTCTTAAAGAGGTTTTAGAAATATCTTGAGGGAGATGGATGTTTTGTGTTTACAAAATAGCATTTGAACATCCAGGCTCAGGTACCTCTCACAGATTTGTAAGAATCCCAGGTATTCATCTTACTGCTTTTTCTGAGCTGGTATTCACTTCTCTGAGCGACAAGACCATGAAATCAGTGTGAACCAGCCTCTTCTGGTCCAAGCAGTGGGGACTCAGGGAAGCCACCACAAATGGAGGTGACCCTGCTGGGTTAAGCCTGGAGAGAGGTGACCATAGAGAGCTTATGCCTCTGGGAACACGAGGGCTGCTCTTCAGCCCCTGATTCGGTTTTTAGAAGCCAGAGTATTTTGTTGCTCCCGTTCAAGTCATGGGCATGTGCAGTTTCTCTCTTTTCTCTTTCTTCCTATATGATTCATTAACTTCCCCCCATTTCCACCAGCTGCTTTATAGTCTCTGTATTTTTCTTTCAGAATCCAGAGAAAGAGATGGGCCTCGTACTCCTTCCTGTACTGGGTGGGTCAGTCGTGTTGAACGACCAATAAGCTTGGGCAGGGACCCACGCCCAGTCCCGTGGGCACCTTCTCCTGTGTCCCTGAGCAGGACAGTGGGCGCTTTGGTCTCCTTGGCCAGAGATGGTGGGTTCGGCAGGACTCACGACTTTCTCAAATGGCGTTTGCTTCATTCTGCCATTTTGATGAAAACATTCAGTAGGTTCTAACTTGAAATTTCTAATGTTAAAAAACACCTCTGGGGAATGATATAACTCAACTTCTGTAATTCAGAAGAAAATGACAGGTTTCTTTCTTGCATATGGATATGTCTTTATCATAATGTGTTATGCTAATCCTCGCAGTTACCACCACCTCCCACTGGCACGTGCAGAGTGCCCTTCGGTTTGTAGTGTAACTCTGGCTTCCTTGTTTAATCTGATCCTTCCATCGACCCTTCAGGAAGGGAACAGAGCCTCACACTGGTGAAGTGACTGGTGAAGTTTGCTCAGCCTCTCAGAGCCCGGCTGGAGAGTGGGGAGCTCTGGCTCTCTGATGGTCATCGCAGAGCCTGGGCTTGTTCTGCTACCGGAAGGACTTGACCTTCTTCACCTCATTTCTGGAGGCCTCTGGAGACCTTTCTCAGACTGGTTTCCTCAGTCCCCTGTGTGACTGCCCGCAGACCGCTGTCTTCCACTTGTCTCTCTGCTCCGTGACAAACACACGGGCCCATTTTATGGTTGTCCTCTGGGGAAACACATTGGATGTTTGTAAACATAAGTAGTGTGTTGGCTCCTCCATATATATTTTTAAGGATGGCAAACTCCTTAGAGAAGAGAAAAGGGTGTCTTGAAGCTGAAGCTGCATGTCAAAGCGCATGGTTACTACTTAAATTGTGTGTTTACCTGTGATGGCTTGGATGGCTCTCTCAAGCCCTCCATTTAGGGTCCACTGTTAGTACTGAAAATAATAGCTTTGTTGAAATGTGAGCACTACATCTTAGCTTCTTCTTCCACCTTGATCTTGTGGTTGTGATCCTCAGTTTTCCCCTCTTCCATGGGGCACTCACATTCAGTGACAGCCACCATAACACACCATTAAGCATTAGATCCTAAAGAGCAGGCTATCGGAGTCACTGTAGACTCTAGAAGATTCTTGTACAGCTTCGCAGACGTGCTAGGATGTGACCAACCTCACTATCTTCTCTCTCAGGTGGGGATTCCGTACAGTGTCAGTCATATTCCCAATGCCGGGGAAAGGTATAACGTGGGCAGAAGCAGTAGCATCTTAGGACAACCACGCAGTTCCGCTGCTGCTTTTATGGAGTTCTTGTATCTCAGTACCTAGCCCTTTTCATTTCTTCTGGAACTTTCATTCCTGTAAACATCATAATGCAAAAATCCCTGGTGATAAACGCACTCTGTGAACACTGGGAAGGGTTGTGTTCCAGGATTGTGTGACTATGGCCATCCTCATGCTATCCATCCCCTTTAGAATTCTGTATTTATGTCCTCAGAGTGCTCAGAAAATGTAAGGTTGTCTATTAAAACTCCATACAGTATGACATGATTCGTTCAATGGGAAATAAGTTAGACGACAAAGTCAGGAAGAGAGAAGAACAGGCATGTAACGAGGCTGGCTCACAAAACTGTACCATGAGGCGCTGTGTACCTGCTAAGTCAAGCACTCTGTTTTCAGTTTTCTGGCAGCCAATCCAAAAAGGAAATTATGACTATCTTTGCAGTTTATGGTGTCCATTTGACTAAAGCCAGTCAATTCTTTGGGAGAAGTCCATTTCTTTTTAATATATCTGTAAGGCCAGAGCAAAAATTTTCCAGGTTATTTATGCTCATAACAAGAGCCCTGAAGAATGTCTTCCACTGAATCCTTATGATACACACAGAAGCTGTACCTCAGAAAACCCTTTAAAAAAGGATCGCACAATGCCAGTCAAAGTCATTAGAACTGAGGAACAGCGGACAGCATGGTCAAGCTCGACGGTGCTACCCTCTGATGGTGTCGCTTAGCCCAAAGGTAGATCGTAAAGTGTCCTGACGAGCGGACGGAGAGACAGTCCTCTGTGAACGCAGTCTCCCTTGATCAAGTCTTTACGCAGAGGGATTGCACTCGCCTTTTGCCGAGTGCAGGCTCCATGATCATCCCATGTTACTAGTTAAAGGGAGCCGCTCATTTGCACATTTTTGCAAGTAAAGATATGGTTGGCTTTCTTTCTTGAACGCTAAGGAAGCTGATGGGAAGAATTCCAGAAATGGTGCCCTGTTCACTCTCCCTGAGGACAGAAGGAAGACGGGAGACGCTCAACCCTTTCTTTGCAGGGCCAAGATTTTTCCCTTTGGGGGACAGAGGGGTGGATTTCTTTTGTCTGCCCTCTTGGTATTTCCAGGATTTGGACTGTTTCAGCTCTACTTCTGGGAACTGCAAGGCGAAAAGAAAACTCGTGGAAGTCACCATTGTGTTGTTCTTGGATTCCAAGGTCCCAAGCTGGTCTCCCTTCTCCTCCCCACTTTCCAGAGTCTTCTCTTGCTTGTTTAGATATAATCTCCACGTGAGTGGGAATCATAGGGAAAAATACATCTTCTACATCTTCCCGGAAGAAGTTGCTCAGTTCTACTTTAATTTCGACACTTACTTTATGTGTCTACTGACAGATAAAGCATGAATCCCGGATAAAGATCTTTGTTGGAAGAGCTTGTTCTCTGCCAGGACTGGCCTTTGTTACCTTCTGCCAGCTGTGTTCTCTAGTGCTGCTTTGTTAAGACTGAGTGCTTTCACTGAAAGATAAATAACGAAGACTAAAGGGAGCTCTAATGGCCGCTTACTGAGCTATAGTCTCCTATTCAGAGACCATAAATGGATGATGAGGTTTCATATTTATTCAACAATCCTCAGATTTCCTGCCCCTTCCTCTAGTCCCTGACTAGTATACCAACGCAGCTAAGTCAGGGAGCCCGTGTGTTCAAGAGTGCTTCTACAAATACTTCTCTTCCATCTTGAGACCTATTTCAGGTTTTTATTTACTTACAGTGACTTTTATGGTAATACTCTCATGGAATACACAGGGACATTTCCTGAGCTTTGTATTTGGGGAGCATAATATCTACCCCCTTCCCCACCCCACTGTCCTAAAACCACGTTACGTCCCTTTGGTTCTCAAGTGTTGGGTCGTCACAGGACACAGTGAGATCATTTTGCATACCTGCCTTTAATATTTTTGTGAAATTTTAATTTTTCATCAATGTGTGAATTTAAGAACATGTTGTGAATTCTCCAAGCTGGCCTGCCGTGGCAAAGCACCCTGAGTTCTCTCTCATCATTCCCCGGTGAAGCTCTGGGTCTGGAAATCCTTTCTTCTTTTTCCTTCCTCCCCAGAGCAGTGATTAGCCTCAGCACCAGCAGCGGGTCACATTTCTGTTGGCCTTCTGTGCTGTTTTGATCCTCAGGTCTGCAGTTTATCTTTTTTGTGAAGTGTTTCTTCACATCAGTTTCTTATTTTTCTACTGGGATGCCTGTTTTACTGGTTTGTAGATGTTCCGTGTATAGTATGGGTACTGTGTCTTTATTAGTCATTTGTTTTACCAATATTCTGAGGGTCCCCCATTCATGCTTATTTGATGACTAGAAGTTTTTAATTTTGTCTGGTCAAACATACCATTATTTCTGTTTGTGGCTAATACTACTTTAGTTCTGCCTTTAAAGAAAAACTCTTATTCCAAATTCACAAAGATGCTCTTCGGTATTGTCTTCCGAAAGTCTTTGTGTCCCCAATTGTATTCACAACCTACATGGGGTTTTTCTTTATTATGTGGTGAGGAAAAGATAGATTTTCCCCCTTTTTTAATATGAATATCTAGTTGTTTCAGTACCATTTGTGAAAAGACCATTCTCTTTATAACATTCTGCAAAATCATCTTTGATATAAATCAAGTCTATCGGCCTATCTCTGTGATATATAGGTATCTGTAAAATGAAAATGGCAAAGGCATCGCATGATTTGCTTAATCAGTCTTCTACTGATGTTTATTAGATTGTTTTAACTTTTTGTTCTGTGATAAATAATGAACTATATTTTACATGTATTTTGTGACATATATTGTGTAATCGTACACTGTTCTTACAGTATAAATTATTTCATTTCATAGGATAAATAGTAATGGCTACCATATATCATTTGTACTTATGCAAGGATTTCTATGGTTTTATACAAACTAATGTTTTTCTACAGTAAAACAAACTCTTTTTGAAGCCTTTTCATGCAAAACCAAAGGAGGGAAGAATTAAAAGACTATCTTCGATATTGCAAGTTGGCCACGTTCATTACTAAAGCTATTGAGACAACTTTGGGGTTTAGTGCTGTGTCACTCAGAGCATTGGGGCGTGGCCTGCAGACCAGCAAAATCATTGGCAGCACCCAGAGCATGCTGGGAATGCAGAGTCTCCAGCCCTACCCCTGCCTTCTGGGTCAGAATATGCATTTTAACAAGATCCTCGATGCATATTAAGTCTGAGAAGCAATTTTCAGTGCACGATGTGAGATAAATGGAGACTTTATTTTTTTCTAATGAGAACACGCTCTGTAGAGTCACGTGGATTTCCATGACCTTTGTAATATTTGAGAGGCTGTGAAAATCAGAATTGTGATTGCACTGGATGTTGGCAACTAATCGTAAAACCTTAATAAGTGAAAATAATATTAATATATTACTTTGTAAAGAGCTCATTTTCCAAAAGTACATTCACATTATCTTTCACGTCTACAGGGTGCAATTTTGCAAAGTAGAAGAGATAGGAATTATTACATCTATTATACTGAGGTTTAAAAAGTGTATGACTTCCAAGTCTCAGCGTGCCCAGGTTCGGTGGTCTTGCCACCATGCATGTTGCCTCAAAACTCAAATACTATGGACAAGGAAGAGAAATATTCAAGAGATGTACAATCAGTTTTAGTTACCTAAATAGAGCGTTAGGAAAGTAGGAATGACCTAAATTCAAACATCACTCATCTTTTTTCACAATGGTGGCTGCATACTCAAAATATTATCTGAAATTTAATCTCCTCCCCCCTTTTTCCCTTTGCCCTGCTTATAGGTAGCAGAATTACTAAAAGTAGGAAGCCAAAAAAATAAAAACACAAATATAGGCAATTCATAACATATACCAACTCTATCATTGGAAATCGGTTTCTGATACATATATACATATATGTACATATATATGTGTGTGTGTGTCTGTGTGTGTGTGTGTAAAGTTGTCATTCCCATCCCCATGTTCTGACCCTGCTATCCCCCCTGAATTTGGTGCATCCTGATGGGTGCTAGGTCTGTGGGTGCTGCACCTGGCCTAGTGCAACTTGGCTCCACTACCTGCTGGTAGGAGGAGAGCCACAAGCAGCCAGAAGGGAGCTTTTGACATGAATTGACGTTCTGATTCAAGTTTATATCAGAGCTAATCAGAGGCTGCCTTGTGGCTGCCCCAGTGTGTGGCATGTGGGGCCCTGGGCATCTTACAGGATGCCCAGCAGCAGGGTAGTGAGTGAGGAGAACCTGGTGGCACAGCTGTGAAAACAAAGCCAAACAAACAAACAAAAACAACAGCATGTGATGCGTTAGCGAATCTTTCACTCTGGTTTTTCCTTTGCCTTTCCAGTTGCCAGGATCTTCAGAAGGAGATCTCCGTTCTCCAGGAGCAGATCTCGCACCTGCAGTTCGTGATTCACTCCCAACACCAGCACCTGCGCAGAGTCATCCAGGAGGTCAGGTTACTCGAGCACATTTCTCTGGTAGCTGGTCGGTTAGCAATGAGAAGACTGAGTGCAGGCAGCTGGCCTGGGCTTGATGAGCAGCGAGAATCTCCTCCCCACGGAACAGCTCCTTTGAATTCCCCTCCAACGGGGCTGTGTCCAAAGCCGTGTTGTGCCTGTCATGCCAACACCTGGAGAATTCTCAGCTGAGGAGCTGGGGAAATTGTGTCTAACTGCTCTTCAGATATTTCAGTGATTTTCAAAGAGTGTCCTCAGCCAGACACTGGCTGGGCACTATTTTTTAGAGGATTTTGTCGATTTGGAGACTCAGCCTTTTCTTAAATGTCTTCATCAGTTCCATGTAAATTTACCAAGGAGAAGTGTCAGGACAGGGGTGTCCTCTGGCCCTTCTTCTCTGGGAGCCTCCTGACAAGTACGAGAGAAGACGTCATTGTATTAACAGCAAGATAGATGGTGGAATCTATACTCAAATCGTTTATGCCAAGATACGTGTCGATTTGGTTTGGGGGGTCTGCTTTAGACTTAAAATCTGACTGTCATTCTTTTTTTTTTTTTTTACTGCCTAATAGTTGTTCCCAAAAGGAGTCTTCCTAAATAACTCAAACACCTTCCTGGTGTAGCATTTGTGCTTGCTAGGCTAGGATCTCACCAGGAGAATTGACTCATGGAAAGGACTTAGAGGCATCCTGTGTCCTCATTTGACAGATGAAGAAACTGAGCCCCACAGTAGTTAGATGACAGCCAGTGGTGACGGAGTTGGCCATAGCATCTGCATGTTTCCTCTCTTCCTGCACCGTTCTGAACTGTATCCCGCTCCCCGGCTCCATGTTGCCTCTTGGCTGATGCATTTCTTCCCAAGCAAAGCGGGCTCACCAAATCATGCTGCTGGTTCACCAGCTCTCTGCCTAGGTCGCTTCCCCATGCTGGCAGTGGCCTTGCATCTTGTCCACTGGCCTCGGTATCTGCAGGATGAAAATGTTATCTGGCTGACACATAAAAGAATGAGCAGTCCTGCTTTCCACAGAGGCAGTCCTGCTCATTAGGTCTAAACAGGCTTCCCAGAGATTAAAATGTTTCATAGCACTGTCTGCACGAGCTCATCCCCAGGCGCCAATCTGGTCTGCTCTTCTGTTTGGCCTGCTGAGTCTCCTGATGCTTTGGGATTTAACTTTTTTCTATTGAATCAACATGATTTGACCACAGAAACCTGCACAATTTCTGATTTAAGTAACCATTCCCTTTGGTCTAACAAGATTTTTCCAACTGTGTTTTCTAATTCTTAGATGGAAGGACTAAAAAATAATTTAAAAGAGCAAGATAAAAGAATTGAAAATCTGAAAGAAAAAGTTAACATATTGGAAGCCCAGGTAAGCAGAGAATCTGTTTTGTATGTCAGTGTGAATGTGACTGTGTGAGTGTGTCAGCTCTGAGCCTGTGTGTGAATGTCTGTGTGTGTGCTCATGTGTGGTGGTCTGCCATGGTGACACCGTCTGAGTGTGTCTGTGTGTGCATGGCGTGTGAGTGTGTCTGTGCATGAGTGTGTGTGACCATGCCCAAGTGCTTATCTGTGAGTGCGTGTGCATGTCTTTGTTTATATATGAATGTTTTCTGTGAGTGTGTTTGTGCCTCTTGTGTGCATAAGAAATTACAGCTTTGGGGACAGGTGCTCTTCCTGAATTGTTATTAAAGTGTCAACTATTAAACATTTCATAATGTTATCGAATTATGAATATTAAATATTAATAAATAATTGTTAAAAGTCCATCCTTTATTTTCAGAACACTTTCTGACTTGGGGAGAGAGAGGGCATAGACTGGAATTAGAAGCCAGGTCAAAGCCATGCTGGGTGAATTTAGACCTGGTCAGGTGGCCCGATTGCTGTCCCCAGTCTCTTTTTCCCTTGCAGAGCCGTCCTCTCTCTTCCTCCAAGCTTTGCCTCAGGGCTCACTCAATTCAAGAAGCTTCTTGTTGTTTTCTTATTTTTCAGTGTTTTAAAACTTAGCATAAGACTTTATAGTTTATTGGGATGAGACATGTTTTTCTATCTGCCCACTATTCCCCCTTAATGGGGGAAGCCCTTTTTAGTTTTTCAGCTGCCACCGGGGCCTGGCAGTGCCCCTGCCTCACAGGAAGTACAGCAAAGCCCCCACTGAGGTTGGGGTACCTGCAGACCCCACAGCAGCCTCAGCTCCTCCCCTCCTGCCCAGGGCTACCCCTCCTGTCTTTGTCCAATGGCTGGTGGCTGACTGCCTGGACCTGGTCACCTTTTCTACATCAGCCCTCGGTATTTTGACTTCCTGCGTGCTGTTGTCTCCATGCTATCCAGCACTGTGGACCTCAGATTTCCACTGCAGACCTCCCCTTCTCTGGGGGCCCTGCTGCTCCCGGGACGGGCCTCAGAGGGGCTCCGGGAACATGCTGCCAGCTCGCCCGGCACCACCCCTTCCACCGCCGTGTTCTCTCTGCTTCCCCCATCAGAAGAAAAAATTGTAAGAACAGAGAGATGTTGTAAATAGTTTTCCATCTTGATTTTTGTAGCCATTGCCCTGTTCTGCCCCTTCTACCTTCCCAGAGGACACTGTGCTCTTTACACTGGAGGGTGAACTCTTCCAGTCTCAGGCTTTCCTTAGATTCTCACCTTCGGTGGGTCGTGCGGGCCTGTTCGCTCGAAAAACATGACGCTCACAGCTCTGTCCAGCTGAACATGCGGTGACTGTGGAGTAGTTGGCTCCGAACCAGTGTCCACTCTGGTGCCCAGTAAGGGCCGCCCAGTGTACCTTGGAGGCCTCAGATGATGTGACCCGTGTCACCACTGGGCCTCTTTCTTCTAAGAAATGCCTTTAAAGGCATTTTCTCACAGCCTTTCTTACTGGCCTTTTGCCAAATACTAGTTGATAAAATATTTTATTGTATTCTTTTCACATAGCTAACATATTTATTCTATACAAATTAGGAAATATGGATAAGCAGATAGAATAAGAAAATCATGCAAATATACCGTCAGTGGACAATCACTCAGCACATTTCATAACCAACTGCCTTTAAGTCTTAAAAATCAGCCAGACACTGAGCTGAGTTCCTTGCATATTTTTATCTTATTTTAGAACCTGTGAAGAAGAGACTATGATTACATCTATTACACTGATGAAGAAATCGGGCTCAGGGAGGTTAAGTGACTGAATGAGGTCACACAGCTGGGGAGTGTGTGGCTCCCCAGGTGTTAGTGACTCTCTACTGGCCGAGTTCTGTGTTCCGATCGATAGAATGACTCGGACAGCAGGCTTGCTGCCGAGGACTGATGTAGGGAGGACCAGGAGCACTGAGCATGTGTGGCTGATGCAGGTGCTAGCTGTGTGACCTCTGCATTCTTTTTCAACTTTAGAATAAAGAACTAAAAACCAAAGTGGCACTTTGGTCTGAAACTCCTAGGACAATGGTGTCTAAGGCCGTGGCTACAAGGTAAAGTCTGTTTTCTGTCCCCATGTCCCTTCACACCTCTGTTGAGCCTTCCTGGATCCCACTGGAGGAAGAGTCCCGTGTATTTCTGCTTATGTAGTCCTTTGTTTACCATTGTTTCTCAGCTTTTTATGACTAGGAACTGTGTTAATCTTCTTCACTGCTGAATCCTCAAACCTAGCATATAAATTTTTACTGAGTAAATGAAGTAATAAATTCAGATATCTTTGCTCAATCCTTCGAGGTGAAACAAGCCCAATCTGGGCTTCAGCACTTTCTCCAGACAAAACAGGTCGTCTCCCCTCTTGTCCTTGTTCTTGCACTGCTCATATGTTCTGTGCCATCCACAACTATTTTAACCACGAATTGTATATATTTATTTAAATGTCATGTCTGAGCCCTGGCTGAGCCCTCAGTGGATTGAGTGCAGGCCTGGGAACCAAAGGATCACTGTTTGATTCCCAGTCAGGGCACATGCCTGGGTCGCAGGCCAGTTCTCAGCAGGGGACACATGAGAGGCAACCATACATTGATATTTCTCTCCCTTTCTCCCTCCCTTCCCCTCTGAAGATAAATAAAATCTTAAAAGAATAAGTCATGTCTGTGCCACATATCAAAGGGATTGTAAATGTGGAGAGGGCAGGAGTAGTTTCTTGCGTTTCCCTTTATTTGTCGCATTGCTAAGGACAAGTGCCTTCAATAAGCACCTAATAATGAGTGAACACGCCATCCCTGATAAGGACCCACCAAAGCAATGGAAGGGATAGTTGGCACCATGAAGCTCACTTTCTAGGTTCACAGAATCCAAAGTGACAAGTTGTAGAAAGAAGAAAAGACTTCTGGTCTCAAATCTGCCTTCCATGACACTCTATGAAATTATTACTCAAAAGAAATCACTGCCTGTAATTCCATGAATCATTTAAAACACAATTAAAAACTTTCTGTTCTACCAGCTTTTGAGTTTCCCAGTCCAGTGGCTCTGGGCAGAAGCCCATTTCCTGAAACTCTCTTCTGCGCATGCCTGTGCTGAGCACCCACCCCTGTGATTATTAGTGTCAGGCCAGGAGCTCGGGCCGATGCATCTCCTACTTCAGAAGTCCCACCGCAGGCCGGCTTCCCATGGCTAGTGATATCTGTCATCACAGGCTAGGGAGGAAACCGTCGTGAACAAGTCTTCGAGAATCCTTGGGCCTCAGGCTACATTCTCAACGCTTTGGCCGCCAGTCCTGCAACTTCTAATGAGGGAAAGAAAGTGTGTCCCTGCAGTATTACAGGAGGCAGTGAAATGCTCACGTTTCAGAAGCAGCGAGAGAGGTAGTCAATTCAGAGGGTGGGGAGGAGGGGGGTTGAAGAGTTTGGGAGAGAAAGGCAAACAGAACTTCCTCAGGGAAGGGAGGAGGGTCAGTGTTTTGACCCCTTACCAGGGTCAACTTAGGAAACCTCCAAACCTGTAGAGAATTTTTTAGTTTATTTGAGCCAAACCGGCCACAATGACTGGGGAGCAAAATCTCAACAGATTGAGAAAAGGCTCCCCGGAGAATGGCAGGTTTGCAGCTCCTACACAGAAGAATCAAAGGAGGAGACTTAATTAATTAAGGGGGAACGGGTTACATGAAATTCATTGGTGGTAGATGAGGGAGGTGGGACATAAGCAAAGTGGGGAAATCTCTGACATTGAATAAAGAATAAGACAGAGAGTCAAATTCTCTTTTACATTGGTGGGTACAGGATAGTTAAAATTAATGTTTAGAGCAAAAAAAAGCCAGGATGCAGGAAAACAAGAGAACAGTGAGGGGGTCCATGCCCAGCTCTGATGGGAGATTGTGTCCTGGGGGGTCTGGAAAAAGGCACCAACCCCAACATTTCAAAGGTATGTATGTTACTGTAGATGCGAAAAGAAAATAGACCGGCTGAGTGAAGGTGAGGATCGACCTTTGTCAAGGAAGTCACTGCTCTAGGACATGACTACACACCATGACTCACTTTTAGTTATAATGGTTTTAACTTCGCACAATGCGAATCATTCTGTGGGGTTACTTTCTGCCTCTGAGTTTGTAAGGCCACCGTGCAGGCCTCCTCTGAGCTTGTCAGGGTTCTGTGTGGCCCCTTGTCCATCCAGACCAGACACCATTCCTCTTGGGGTGGTGTGGCCAGCATCCGCTGTTCTGACCCTGGAGGGAACGGAGGTAGACGGAAGTTAATTAATTAGCAGCTGCAGTTAATTAGTAGTTAAAGGTCTTTTAGTTTTAAAGATTTATGTTCTTTCTGTGACTTGGGAAAGATCACATGGAAGCATTTTCTAATTGCAGCAGGGAAACTGGACTAAATATGCCCTTTGTTTTATGATTTTTGATAGAAGTTGCAGTGTTAATGGTATGTTGGTAATGTGGGTATTCTGGGGGGGTGGGGGGCTCAAGGATCCATAACCCACGGTGTGTTTTTAGCTTCACACAGGAAAGAATTCAAATTCAAGTCAGCATAGAGTTTAAAGTGAAGTTTATTAGTGAAGCCTAGAGTGTAAAGTGCAAGAGAGTTTATTAGTGAAGCAGGATGGGGAGCAGGCTTCTCTGCAAGCAGAGCAGCCCCTCACTGGTGGGATTTACTTCTTTTATCGAGGCTCATTTAATCAAGGGGCAGAGCATTCAATAAGGGAGAGGACCCAGGATTTTTCCAGGGTGGAGACTTCTCCGCAAGAGCTCCCACCACTGGCCATGTTGTGTTTTTACACTGGCCTTTTGTTTCTGTGTGTGGCCATTGGGGGGGGGGATGTCGTTTAGCACGCTCAGGTGTTACGATGAGCATTATAATGAGGTGTTACAGTGAGGCTCGGGGTTACTCCAGGTGGGATTGCTCATCCTGTGGGATTCAGCTAGTGGTCTGCAGGTGCTCAGCCGTAAATCCTCTGGGGTTGCTCTTTGCATCTCTGTGATAGTCCTTGCAGTTCTTATTTGTTACAGCCATTTCACCACATGCCCTCTCTCGATGGGAGGTCTCCTGTTTGCACAATGAAATAGGATTAATTGGCTGCTTTCAGAATGTAAGTGGTAGTGTGGTTTGATAAGTTTGTATTCACCAACATACAATGGAATTATAACTCTAAGGAGAGATTGGAGTTTAAAAGGCAAAAAGATATACATTTAAAAATTAATCTAGGCAAGTCTCATATCACCCATAGAATCTGTTTCTATGCTACCTGTCACAGTGAGTACAAAAAAAACGTTTTTTTCCCTTTTCTTCATGCATTAGAACATATAGATGTTTCTTGGGTTGAACACCAGAAGGAGCAGCTTGCTGGAGATTAGGGGTCACATTAGACAATGACAATAACAGCAACAACAACATACACACATATACACAGATGTGTGTATGCACGTGTGCACGGGGAGGAGAGGAGACCAGGCTGTGCAAAACCCGCAGAATTACAACGTCCTGAGGGACCGCTGATGTGTTCCCCATGTCCAAGTCACCATGGGGCGTGTCTTCATTGAGTGGACTGCTAGACACAGGCTCTCACTCTTGTCCTCATACAACTCAGTGAATTAAGTTGAAGGCTTCCACCAGGTGATTCTCCTTTGTTTCTTGGGGAATTACAATTCATCGATTAACTGCCACCTCTTAGATGAAAGCAGTCGGTTCTGATGGGGCCGTATAGGGTGATGGGGATGGTAATGGTGGTGGTACAGCAGTTACATCACTGCAGGTCAATGCACTTGATCTTGATGACTATGTGGTCTTTTCCACAGCGAACTGAAGACTGAAGGCAACACCCCCTACTTCATGTTGGTTAGGCTACGGAAGTGAGCTGGCTGGCTGAAGATCGCATGAGAAAGAACACTACGTGGGTCTTATTTATTCCTTTAAACACAGTGGAAACTTGCATGTTAAAAATGGCTCAATGCCAGTATTTCATGGAATTCATTATACATCAATAGCTTTACAGGAAGATGACATTCCAGGAAATCGAACAAATATATATTCGAGGGAAGGAAATCTTTCTTCAAAACTTAATAAATGGGTGAAGAAACCAGGTGCCTTATCATGATGAAAGATGAATTCTATTTTTAAGTTTTAAAAATCTGAACCTTTTTTTGCCTAAGGGAGTGGTTTAAGGTTGTCAACTTTGACCTTTTGATAGTGTTTTCCATTTATTTAAATAGAAGAAAGAGTTTTTATGTATATGAATGGATGTTGTATTTTAAAGTTGACTTTTGAATAATAAAAATACCTTACCATGATTTAAATTCATCTTCTGACCATTGTTAGAGGAACAGTTATTTTCTATTGAAGTATGAGCTGGGAAAGTTCCTTTTTAACTAATGCACCAACACACACAACCCTCCCAAATTGAGAATCATGGTGAGCTCCCCACACCTGAGGAGTTGGGATGGCAAGTTGGTTGCTAAAGGCACCCCCCCTCCACACACACACACATATAAGTACAAAGGAATGCACTTTACGACTCATTTTCTTTTCCATAGTCATTATATTATCTAATGTTGTTAGCTCACACCTCCATAAAAATACATGTATCATGAGTTCAAAGAGCAGTGGCTGCTGTCTGCAGCCAGGAAGAATTGGACTTCATGAATTAAAATCACGTGTCCAGAGCTTTTGTGCTTGAATTTGGATAGGTGCTTTCATTACAGGTGTAGTTTATGATTGCTGTCGAGCCAAACTCCGACTTGGAGAACTTGCAGATAGTGACCCTCAGGAAGACAGAGTGCTCGTTGACTAAAGGAATAAAGGGAGACCTTAGCCACCCTACAGGCTGAATTGCTCTAAGCCTTTTGATCATCCTCTCTGGTATATAACTACATACATTTTCTCAGGAAAGATGCTGAAATCCTTTCAGTGTGGAATGTGAAATACCAGTATTATCTATGAAATACTTAAGGGTATGCACAAATGAGGTGAAGTAGTGGATTTATAAATTTATCAAAGGATGGTAACCCTTGAAATGTTACATGGCTGTGCACTAGAGAAATTTACCTGTAACTCAGAGATTGTGTGGGTTTCTCTGACCCCTCGATCATTATGCTGGATTATAGTAAACTCGAGATTTGTGAATGAACCCATCTAACTGAGCTAACGGCCTGGATGGTTTCCATTAGAAACCTGTATTTTAAAGTCAAAAATGGAAAGACACTGTTAGATATTTTTTGGGTTTACCTATATTCATTTTTTATACAGAAGGACAGTTGGACGGAATAGAGATAGGACCTTCTCAGGGAGTATCCAGGTCCACTTTGGAAGCAATGGTCATTGGATCTTCTGAGTATGCAAATAAGCAGTTTCAGGTACCTAAAGAGATCTGAACTCTTCAAACACAAAAGTATTATTTTAGTAGCATTGGGATATTTATTGGTCATATGGATTACTTTCTGGAGCCTAATTATTTCAACTTATATCACTTGAAATACTATTAAATAAACATTTCTGAGTCATAAAACAAATGATTACAGTGAAAAAATTTCTTAGTCTAAAATTAGTAGCACACAGGAAATACACAGAAACACTAGTTCAATTGAGTCAACATAATTGTAATTAGAGTAACTAATATTTGATAAGAAGGTCTGAGGTGAGCCTTGAAGTGAATACATGGAAATTTAGTTTCACTTTGATTCCATGTAGTGTTATAATTTATTATTAATAAATGTTTAAACAATTGATACATCTTTTGAATAACTGCTTATACCTTACAATAAACTTATAGTTTATAAAAGTTTTATTTTTATTTCTTTTAACATTAAAATTATTATGCATAAATGAATTGACTACTTTTTATTTGACCATTTGTGGTAATATCATTAATAATAAACTAATTTTTTTATCAGTAAAAAAGATTTATATAGCTCCCTGAATTTTCTGCTGATATTCCCTGGATCCAAATCAACGGCAAAAGTAACCTATTATGTTTTTATTCTAAATGTGAAAAAAAAGTAGTGTCATGAAATTAAAAGCAAACTTCTAAAATTCTTTCATATCTCTTCACTTTGAAAATACAGCGTCCTTTAACATCAAAGTAGGGATCCAGTTCACCAAAAACTGATCATTCATTCCCTCAAGTAAAATCATAATCATTGTAATTCTCTTCCTTTCTTTTCTTTCCTTCTCTTATTTTTTGACTAAAAATATTAAGGATAAATAAAGATTTAAATTATTAAATTTAATTGCTTTGTCATTAAAGTATATACTTATGTGTTTAAAATTGTAGTAGAGCCCTGGCCGGTGTGGCTCAGTGGATTGAGCACCAGCCTCCAAACTGAAAGTTCGCAGGTTCAATCCCTTGTCAGGGCATATGCCCGGGTTGCTGGCCAGGTGCCCTGTTCGGGGCGAGCAAGAGGCAACCAATCAACATTTCTCTTTTTCTCTTTCTCCCTCCCTTCTCCTCTCTCTGAAAATAAATAAATGGAATCTTTTAAAAAATAAAATTGTAGTAGAAATAGTGAAAATTAGGGTTTGTGCTAGGCATGCAAGGTTGACTTAGTCATGTTCAATGTGTTGATAATGGTAATGTTTTCATGGGCAGGTGTCTTCACAAAAATCAATAAATGATATAATTCAAATATTGAATATTTGCTTCAATAAATTAGTAAAAATCGAAGTTAGCACTGTTATTTTGCAGTCCACCCAATTTGTCATACAGGATATCTTAATTTTTTGGCAACAAATATTTATTGACTGTCCCCTCTGTGCCAGGCCCTTATCCAGAAGTCAGGGTTCTAGCCGTGAGGAGGGGGAAGGCGTGCTTGTGGACAGGAATTTTTTAAAAAAGAAAAATCTCCACCTTCATATAAATGTACTCAGTGATGAGGAACAGATAATAAAGTTAAAGATGTTCATTGACTGTGAGGAAAACTCCAGCGGACTCAGGGATCCAGAGTTACCAGGGATGAAAGGCTTTGGCTACAGTTTTGAGTCAGGCGATACTTGCAACTATGGTAACCACAGACTGGTCATTCAGATAGGACGGTCATCTTCAGTAAGAACTCACTTACTATGCTGTACACCTGAAACCAATACAGAATCATATCGAAAGTAAACTAATTAAAAAAATAAAAGAGTGAAAGAACTAGAATGTTACAAAGCATCGCTTCTGGTGCATTAAAAAATATAGAACTCTCTCTTTAAAGATAACGTTTGAACAAAGACAGGAAGAAAGGGAAGCAGGTGGAAGGAGCTGGCATTTGGTGGAAGAGAGGTCCAGGCGGAAGCAGGCACAGGTGCACGTTCTTTGCAGGATGTAGGCCAGGTGTGTGCGGAATAGCCAGGACGTAAGATAGACTGGGAGGTGAAGAATAAGTCTCAATATTTGCTAAATAATTTTCCATGCAGCATATTCTTTCATATATGTTTTTTTTAAATTTCATTTATTTTTAGAGAGGGGGAAGGGAGGAAGAGAGATAGGAAGAGAAACATCAATGTGTGGCTGCCTCTCGCTTGCCCCCTACTGGGGACCTGGCCTGTAACCTAGGCATGTACCCTGACTGGGAATCCAACTGGTGACCCTTTGGTTCTCAGCCCACATTCAATCCACTCAGCTACACCAGCCAGGGCAGCATATTCTTTCATATTTTTTAAATTTATTTTTAGAGGGGGGAGGGAGAGACAAAGAGGGAGAGAAACATCAATGTGTGGTTGCTTCTCAAGCACCCATATTGGGGACCTGGCCAACAATTCAGGCACGTGCCCTGACTGGGAATCGAACCAGCAACCCTTTGGTTCACAGGCCATCACTCAACCACTGAGCCACACCAGGCAGGGCCATTTTTTAAAATAAATCCTTCCTTCATTCAGTCAGTCAGTTTTTCCTCCAGTTCTTCAAAGTCTGAGCAGTGGGAACCAATTGACTCTTAGAAATCTGTATCCCAATCCCCAACTTGGTCTGTGTTTTTCTAATTTACTGAGAAAGCCCATGTTCTCTGGAAGGGCCACTGAAGAGCAAAGTGCTCTTAAAGGTTCAGTTGTGTGGTCTCGTTTTGACCTACCCTCTCTGCCTTAGAGGACTCATGAGAAACTGCTTTTGGCATTCAGGAGCAAGGCGCCGTGTGTTCGTATTTAATACGTTAACTAGCGCTACTCAAGTCTCTCCCCTGTTTCACGTTTTCCATGAGCGTGAATGAGCTCCTGGTGTCCGTCTCTCTGGGGAAGCAACCAAACAGATTGAAATCGCCTGTTGTTAACCTTGCTGTTCTGCGTCTTTTTCTTTTTTTAACCCTTTTGGTACAGACGAGTCTTTCTCTCAGACACCTATGAAAATGGTGCAAAGTCATGATCATCTCAAAGATCTGATTACTATCACGAAATGTTTCTGCTACCTACAATATAGCCTTAGTCAAATTATAACTGGTGTGTTGGTTTCCTAATCCATAATGCAAGTCATCTAAATGAGTTTCTAACAGAACAGCAATGCTCACACTCAGTCCAGATTAGAAAAAAAATTCCTTGGTAATGAGAACAGTGAATAATAATATCATACACAGTTTTAAAACAAGAAATCCTATCAGTCCAGATAGTGAATGTTTAGAAGGTCTATTTTTTTCTCAATACAGGGCACATTATGTTTATGTACAAATATGCCCTGGCTGGTGTGGCTCAGTGGATTGAGCGCCGGCCTGCGAACCAAAGGGTCACTTGGCTTGATTCCCAGTTTGATTCCCGCACATGCCTGGGTTGTGGGCCAGGTCCCCTGTAGGGGGAGTGCGAGAGGCAATCACACATTGATGTTTCTCTCCCTCTCTTTCTCCCTCCTTTCCCCTCTCTAAAATTAAAATATATAAAATCTTTAAAAAAAACTTATAAAACATTAGGAAAAGCAAGTCACTGATAATTTATCTTGAATTATTTAAGATGAAGCCAGACACAAAGATTCTGCCCCTGTGAAACTGCACTACTACTACCAGGGAGGAAAGTTGAGAAAATGGTGCTGAGCATTTATTTGCTTACAATGGGAACGTTGTTTTTATCTTCAAATGAAAAATACATTACTGTCTTAACAACACCTATCTGAGTAACATGTGGAGGGAGACCAACTCTGGGAACAAGGCAGCCTTTGTAAACGAACATTTAAGTGGAAGCTGTATAGTTGTGGTCTTGAATTTGCCTTGAACAATAATGGTCTATTCACGAGCCCGTGACTGAGGGAGACACCACCACGTCTCAGCATTTTGTTATGGGGAAGAAATAGATTATAACGTGAAAATACTGTATACTGTAGAATACTTCAACAATGTTAAGTGCTAATTTTATACATACATCATCTAAAGCTACGAGAAAACTTCCCTTGCAAAACTCAGTCTTTCTTTAAAAAAAAAAGCTTTTATTTATTTATTTTTAGAGAGAGGCTAAGGGAGAGAGACAGAGAGGGAGAGAAACATCAATGTGTGGTTGCCTCTCACACGCCCCCTACTGGGGACCTGGTTCACAACCCAGGCATGTGCCCTGACTGAGAATCAAACCAGTGACTCTTTGGTTTGCAGGACTGTGCTCAATTCACTAAGCCACACCAGCCAGGCTTAAATTCAGCCTTTAAATAAATAATAAATGAGAAAGTTTAGAGAAGTGGATAGAATCACTTGACTGCCCCTAATGGGTGGCTTAGCTTTTTAAAATTGAGATATAATTGACAAAACATTATATTAGTTTCAGGTGGATACTGTCTTTAATATGATGCACGTTTCCCATTTAAACCTATTTACTGTTCCCGGCCCATCACATTGAACTTCAGCACCGAAATAAGGTTGCTCTGACTGCAGAAAATGATCAGTAAAAATGCATTTTTATTTGAAAAGTGTGCAGTAACAATCACTGTATACAGTTCTCAACCGTAGTATTCAAACCCAGACACCACAAAATCATTGGATGCTATGATTTCTGAAGTCACCGGAACTTTGGTACAATAGGATGATGACCCAACAGCATCTGTCAGGCACTGCAGTCTATCCAGGGGCATCGTTTAAAGTTTTAACTTACAGCCAGAGCGCTAGACAAAACAGATCTATGTAGCTGACAAAGTCGCATGAGCTTAGCCTAGCAACGACAGTATCACATGAAGACAGACCATTGGGATATGGTGAAGCACATCAGTGTTATGTCAGAACATTGTCTGCTTTTGACACATTAAGCAGGACAACTAACTTTTATTAAATAATTGCAGATACAAGTATCTTTTACAAGGCCATGGACACAAAAGCCCTATCGGTACAAGGAGTATTTTGACCAAGTTGTCATATACAATCTAGAATATAACTGGACTCCTTGAAGGAAATACAAGTTGACATATGAAATGAAATAGAACTCGTATTTTTTTCAGGAACTTCAGATATATTAAACATTTCAATCAAATACAATAACCTCAAGTCGACTACTCATTGACGGTTTCCAAGACACCTACTAAAATGACTTGTTTCCCTGCTATGACACTTCTATGCACAAATGGTTCAGATGACGACTTTGACTCTTGGTTAGTTCTTAGTCTGTGCTAATAGTGTCTGTGTATGAAGTGGAACATAATGTGAAAACTGATTTCTTATATATGTTCACCACTGAGCCTGATTATTGAGTCCCTCACCTTAGGAGGCACGTGGGGTTGGTAAGTCCCACACAAGGAGAAGCCACTATGAGAGTTAATAACAGACACATGGTCCCCAGCTGGTTCTTTCTGGACACTTTCTATTTCTAGGCTCCCTCTCAAGGAGCATTTGAAACAATAACCTGGAGAACAGAAGATTCAGAATAAGTACTGTATGTTACTCCACATTGCTAGGGACCCTATTTTGAGGTGTCAACAGACACATAGACAACTGCCACTGGTTAAATAAGGGCCCACTAGGTTATTAAGGACAGACAAACCAGCTCCTACACACTTTGTTAAAGATCCTTAAAGACTAAGCTGAGAGCTATTAGCCATGACTTCCATGGTCTGTGAGAAAGAGAACCGGAAAACATTTAAATGACTCACTCCCAAGGCGATTCATTTGTGTTTTTTTTTCTTCAAAAAATGGCACCCTTTAAAATAACCCACCCTTTGGGCACAGGTGATCATTCCCTCTGTTTGTGAAGTTGGAGAATCTCCCAACAACCATAGGCAGCTGGAGCAGCTCTGCAGGAAAGCGTCTGTGAAGCTACTCCAATTATCAGAAAGAGAGTTTCAGATAAAAACATTTGTTTCCAAATTTTTGATGCTAATAATGAAATATTTTAGCTTAAATATTTTTATTAGCTTAGTTTGAAGGCTATAATTCTCTACTGGGTAGATAAAAATGAAGAATAAATATTTGCCATGGGTCTAGTTACAAAAACTCTTTCTGGCAATCTTCTTTTTCCTACCTAAAAATCTACCTTTTGGGGATGAATGCCTCCATGTTCTGTGATATTTAAGAACTCTATTTAGAAACTTCGAACTCTTAGCTCTCCTTGTAGCTCTTGCTCACAATGTCATTGTAGTTGATCTCCACCCAAGAATTCTAAGGCAATAAGTTTAAAAAATTCCTGCTGTATCTAGCAATAATTTTTTTATCAGTTCTACTTTATGAGACAAATATTTTCATAGATTTATAAAGCATCGAGACAACACCCATCTCAGATAATATTCTCTATCTACTTTCCATGTTAACAATTCACCACTCTGCCCAGACATAAGTTCAGATCATCTTGGCCAAAAATTAAGAAAAAAATATAATTCTTGATAGATTTTTAGACAACCTTTTCAAATATAGACAGCATCTTGAAAAAATAATAAAGCTTTCCCTAACATACTTAAATATTCTAGACTTCTCTTAATGCTTTAAAGCTAGGTAGTAGAGGGTAAAAGTGAACTTTCAAAAATCACTTTGGTTAACATCAGTTCTCAGAACTTCCTCTTAAAGGGTCATTCTGTGTCTTAGGAATTAGAAACTTCAATATTATTTCTTTAAAGGTTGAGTTTTAAACTCCAAAATTCTTATGGATGAGGGTTTCCCCCAGATTTTTAGTGTGGTACACAATGAGAACTGAATCTGCGCTCCCCATCTTTTTATCCGTGTGAACAGGGATACAGCGCGGTCAGTGATCTGTCCCACAGACACAAGATTCCAGGGTATATACTGTACCTAGTCCTACACTTTCTCTATTGCACCTATTATTTCTCTAACTGCTGTATTCACTCTACAGGTGAAAATGAGCTTCATCAAATTTAGTGATTTCCAGCAGACTCAATTTACAGTTTAAAGGATATTTGACTACTATTATTTTTTAAATGTAGTCATGTCCTTCTCTATGGTCAAGCTTCTCTCCCTCTCACAAAGACTGATTAAAACTCTTGCCCAGTTCATCTGACCTGTACTGATTGGTAGAGAACACCTTACACTAGAAGTCTAAGAAAGACAGCCCCTTTCCCCCATACACAGCATGGCCCATCTGATTAAAAACAAGACAAAATATTTACTTTAGAAAATGCTGGATTTGAATTTTTTGCAGTGTGGTAGCTGGTAATATGGGAATGGTACCAAACTGACTAGAGTGTGACTTGAAAGAATTTTAAAACTCTTATGTAGAGATCCACCAGCTCAACTCCCAGAATTTAATACTTTCTTTCTCTGCTGATTCGTGGCCTGTTGCCCTCATCATACCAAGACAAACACTGCGTTCTCTCAACTATTTTTGATACATTTTTCAAAGAATTTTTTTCTTTACATTTAACAATAACTCTGTACCTAATTAGTTACAAGTCTCAAGTAATGCTCACTCCATGAGACATGAGCTAGGAGACCAGGAGATGGTGGTGATGACCTCCAGATTCTGATGACGTCCTTGAACCCTTTGCTGAAGACATCAAAGACCTTTGGCTGCATTCGTGTCTCTGGGAGGCCTCCCTATAATGGATTACAGGGTGAGCTATGTGGTCACAGAGGCAGATTTGGCCACAGAGGTCCCCGAGGCACTGGGTTAGAGCAATGCAAACATCAAAGCAGAGTGCATGCCCCAGAAACCATTTCTCTATTAGAAAGGAATTTCATGCACCCTTTAAATAGTTTTTCAAAATGCAATTTGGTTTACTAGAGCCTTTGGAAGATAATTAGCAATAAGACTCATCTTGGCTAAAAATACATGTTACTGTGGATTAGAGGGACTATGCAGTTCTCCAAGGCAGTCTGAATACTTTGTGGCCCAAAATTGGTAAAATAAATAATAAAGAATATTAATTATGTGATAATGAGAGGAGGAATTGGTATTAACGTTTACATAGAATTTGGGGTCAGGTGTCAAACTTCACAGAGAGAAATATTTTTTTAGATCAAGTTTTTATAAGTAGAATACAATTATAAATTACTTTTCATGTCTGCTTTAAGTTTTGTTGTTCTTGAGATTATTACCCAATAATTGTTCTTTTCACAGGCGTAGTTCTATAATTATGGACATCATCACCCTCTGCTTCACGCTGCAACTATCAAGTGACAATCTTAAAATAGACCCTGAACAAATGCTTGTTAAATAAACTGACAATGACAGAATCTTGGCATAAGTAAATCAATCATATAACTGGAAAATTAAAAGAAATAGAAAGACATACCCCAAATAGAATACCTTTAGAATTTTATAAAGGCTCAACATTCCATATTGTGGAAATGCAGGGGAAATCACAATTTGGATCCAAATAAGAAAGTGATATAATGACCTCAGAAGTTCACCAGATTTTGCCTACAGCAATAGTTACGCTGTTTCTGTTCGCTTTTCCAAAAGAAACACGTTTCATGTTAGCTAATAGCTTTCCATCTTCATGGCACAGGTACTGAGGTCATGAGAAGCATCCTGGAGAAAAACACCTTTGCAGGCAGCACCTGCCTGTGATCCATCTTAGAAGCTGGCACTGTGTGGCGGAAGTCAGGGGAGGTGGGCAGTAAATGCCAGGAACTTCATGGAGGGTGAACTCATCAGAGCTTCCGGATTGCTTTCATTCAGGTGCATTTCTGAGCCCAGTCCACACTAAGATCATTATGTCCATAGACATTCCCCTGGATCTAAAAATGACTCGATATCAGGTAGAGGCTGGTAGGCAGAGGTGGGGGACGGGGAGCTGAGTTTAGGCTTTGCAGCATCTGTAACTTAACAAAATAGGCACCAAGTTGGAAAAAATGAAGTTTAACCAACAGTAAGAGGAATTATTCCATTGAAAAAATCATATAACTCCTAATAAAAAAAGAAAGCTTAAAGTGTAATGCCTTTGTTATTAGTAAAATTCACTGGAATATTTAAATAATAGTTTAATAGGAGTTGATTGTTAATTTAGACACAATGATAAGAATAGGCCAATGAAAAATACTTTTTGAATCATTTTTAAAAGAAAAGGCAGCTTCTTATGAAAAAAAAGTGAATTACCAATTTTTGGTGAGATAAAATCCCCAAATATAGGTCAACTATGGGCCTTTTGCCTTAGGCAAAATAAAAACAAATGCTTAATATATTATAATATGGCATGAGTTACCGTCAATTTTTATGTGATGAATGACATGAAAATTCGGAGTTACCGTTAAAATTGATCCATCATTATTCTCAAGTTGGTCTACAAAATGACACACCTGTATTTTTACAATTGATTCAAAGCCAGGGGTAGGTGTGGGTTAAAAGGGAGAAATGTTATTTAGCGTTTCCAGTGCTTTTGTAAATTGAAAAGAAATCCACAATTAATAGTCACCTTTTGTTTCACATCCACCAGCATATTCACCTAAAAGAAATTAGGTTGAAATAGGGTTTTTTTTTTACTGTCTTTAAAGAAAGACACTTAATAAGCAGCAATTTTAATTTATCTTTGTGACTATCACCATTTACTTAGGGAAAAAAATGAAATGTGAAGCTGAATCCTGAACCTATTTCTAAAATGTTGTTTCAAATGGAAACTTCTGAATCTTCTCTTAATCCCCACCGACAATGTCCACTTCTACTTGGCCAGAGTGAAAGCTGCCTGATAACTCTTCCAGACACCTATAACAGATACATTTCGTTTCATTTGTCCAAATGCTGTGTTCCCCCACTTTCATTTTCTTCCCGGGGCATTTCCCTTGTGTTTTGTAACTCACCATCTTGTTCTTGTCTTTCTGACATTTATTTAGAATATAAAAATGGCATTATTATACAATTGCCCACATTTTAGCAGAAGTCTGACATTCATTCCCCTGCAGCCTCATCACTAAATTAGTCTTTCTGGTACTAGTTTATTGGGGAATATCATTCTTAACGATCCATTTAAAATTCTTTATTGTGTATCTATTTTAACTAATATGTTTTCCCAATGCAAACCTAAAAGTAATAATCATATTCTACATAAGAAGTAAACTCAGTCTTTAAAAAAATAATCTTTCTATGTTCTCCCTTTGGTAGCCTGTCCCTCTCTCCAGTGCAACAGGGTAGGTAAGTCTGGCTCTGATTTAAAACTCACTCTGATTTCAGCTTGTGTACTCTCCTGTACCCTTGTCTTCTTTTTAAGAAAAATGAACCGGGCACCCACGTTGGTGAGGGCACACTGCAAAATCTTTGATTTTGTTTGAAGGGGCCTCAGAAACTACTGGTCGATTCTTTTGAATGCAGTTGACTATTTGGGTTTCTTGAAATAGATTTTCTTGCAGGAAAAGACAGACATGCCACTATGCATGGCAACAATGTCCTGGTTTGTCGCTGACCGGGCGGTGATGTCAGGTTGGGGCTCTTGGCGATGAGGTCCTGTGCAAAGTCTAGCAGGCACATCTCTTCTCGGCTGCCTTCTCCCCATCCAGCTTCCCAGAATTCCCACCATTGACAGCGTCGGGGACTTGTGCCTTCTCCACACACTGTTCCATCCGCTTCATGATTAGGTCCAGAAGCATTTCCACGGCTTTCTCAACGTTCTGGCCAGTCGCTGCGCTGGTTTCAAAATAGGGGATGCTAGCATGGAAGAGAAGACAAGTATTTTTGAGAGGAAGAAACTGGAAAAGATACAAGATGTACAAAGGAGTCGCACATACAGGGATGTGGCCAGCAGAGACTGCGCCTGCGCAGTAACCATGGCTTTGCGAGACGCATTGGAAGGCATCCTTGTTCCTCGGAGTAAAAACTGGTGGCCACTCGCCAGCGTGACTATAAGCAACACTGCGGGCAATGCAGGAGGCACTCGTAAACTCGAAGTCAAAGCACTATAACCATTTTTTTCAATTTTAAGTGGGTAAAAATGCCTAAATGGGTGATCAATATGATTTCCCTCCCAATCAAGTATCTGGAAATCTGATTTAGAAATTAGGTAGGTGCTGAAGATGCCATTCCTGTGAATAGTCTACACCCATTTGGAATCAAACATTTCAAGAATACATGTATATTTTTAATGCTCTCAAGGAGAGTCCAAAAAATTGGCAATGTGGTGCTTTGGAAATCAACTTGTCATTGTACAAAGCGTTTTTAAATTTGTAACCGGCCATTTAAACTCCCCTAGGCTAAAGACTGCAACACTGTGTCCAAATCAGGGGTCACCTTTAGAGCAGGGGTGTCGAACTCATTTTCACCAGGGTCCACATCAGCCTCGCCGTTGCCTTCAAAGGGCCGCATGTGATTTCAACTCCTTAACAGTGAAGGGGTCGTTACATGCATACAGTCCTGAAATTATTTCAGCCCTTTGAAGGCAGCCACGAAGCTGATGTGGCCCCTGGTGACAATGAGTCTGACGCCCCTGCAGAGGCTTGTGGCTCATCACTGAGAGGCAGCAGAGTGTGTGGGGGGAGAACACGGGTCCTGAGCTCAGACTGCCGGGGTTGAATTCAAGCTCTGCCACTTACCAGCTATGGGGCGTCCCATCACCTTTCAGTCTCTCTGTGTCTCCGTTCTTCACACATGAAAAGGACGACTCTAGACTCCTACACACGGTTATGAGGGATTCAATGAGCTAAAGTCTAGGGACAGTTGCTAGCACATGATAAGTACTCTGTAAATGTCAGATGCTTTCACCACTGACTGAGTATATCGCCCTTGTGCCTCTGGAAGATCTCTTAGTTCTGTGCCATTCTTCATTCAGGGAGACTCCTCCCAGCATCAGCCCCGAGCCCCTGACCCTTCACTAAGCAGCCGTGTAAAAGGTCAGAGGACATCACCACGTCACCGGCTTACCCGTATTTGTCAGCCATTTCCCGGGCTTGCCGTTCGCTGACTTCCCTTTGGTCTGGCAGGTCTGCCTTGTTGCCAATTAACACTATATCCGGGTTTTCACAATAGGCGTTCGCTTGCAGTTGACCTTAGAGAGAAAGCAGGTGGAACCAGCAAGCTAGTTACAAACAAGTGATGTCGAATGACTGCTCCTAACAGATTCCTAATCTAGTTGTCCATCTCCAGCTTTTTACATGTATTAGCCAGGTTATTGAACTCTTCTCAGCTGTGGGTTCCTCATCTGTAAAGTGGAGATAATGCCTCCCAAATTGCATGTTCTCAGGATTAATGGCAGTTTACATGCAGCGCCTGTATGAAAACTAGTGCTCGTCTCCATCTGGGGAAGTGCCCTCCAGACGGACACACTGCTCATACCACTGGTTTCTCAGACCTACTTGGGGGTCAGAGAAGTGACCGTGAAGCAAAAAAGTCTGCTGCTTCCTTTATGAGACCGCTACAGTTCCATCCCCTGGGAGTCCAAGGTGATGATGTATAAGAGCAGAGCACTTTTCAACCACAAATTCATGCATAAACAATTTTAGGGCAGGAAACTCGGTTTTCTCTTTTCTGCAGGAAATATTGAGAGGGAGGGAGATGGAGGGAGAGGGGAGAGAGAGAGGAGGAGGAGGAGGAAGAAGAAGAGGGAGGAGGAGGAGGAGAAGGGGGAGGAGGAAGGAAGGAAGGGAGGGAGGGAGGAAATGATAAGAAATCTGTCAACCTGAGTTTTCGAGGTCACAGGGATTATACTAATGTTATCTCAAGGCATGCTGCATGCAGTTTTGCCAAGGAAGAGGATAAGGCTTACCCTATAACATGAATTATTCAGGAGTGAGAAATCAAAGTATTATTAGATATAAAAATTAATTATCTTAAATCCCAATAGTATCCTTCTGAAATTTTTTTTTAAAAGAACAAGGGAGAGTCTCATCTGCCTTCATAAAGGATGAAGAAATAATTCTCTGAAAGTATCTAATAATCTTATCTCTTTATCTCCTCAGAATTTAATAATAACACCGAAATTTAAAATATGAAAATATCATAATAAAATAAAATTGAGATAGTTCCTAAGATAAACACTCATTTGGAGAAGCAATATTTTTCCCTGTGGTAGCAACTATATCACTGAACTCACATTTAAAGCAGTTGTATAAGTAGCTATGAATAATACATAATAGTAACTGTATAGAGAATAACGGGAATATATAAGAACACAGAGAGAACATCTTTTCTGTGCCACACACTCGCCCAGGCTTTGGGCTGTTACAATGGAACGCAACAGGCAGAGTCTGAACGTTTCCAGAGCTCACTGTTAGTGGTAGAGCATCAACGTGACAGGAAACAAAGAAATACATAATATAACATAATATCATGTCAGGTGGAGGCAGTGAGGGAGGGCAACAGGAAGCAGACCTAGGCGATATAAAAAGTAACACGGAGTAGTATTTTAGGTGAGGTGGTCAGGAAAGGCTTCTCCCAGAAGATAAACAGGGTTCAAACAGAACCTTGAAGAAGACAAAAGAACTTGCACACTCTGGCAAGAAAGAACAGAAGTCCAGGCCCAGGGATCCGGAAGTGCAAAGGCTCCCAGGCAGGACAAGGCCTTCTGTCCCCTCCTCCAAAGAGCAGCGGAGTCATTGGGCTGGAGGCCTGTGAACTGGGGAGACAGAGCAAGAGAGAATTCGAGAAGAATTTAAGGTCTGGTCACCAGGGCCTTGTGGGTGGATGAAGAATTCTGGGGTTTATTCCAAGTGAAATGGGAAGTCTCAGAAAGAAGGACTTTGAGCAGGGGAATAACGTGACCCAATTTTCAACAAAAATATCACTCCGGCTACAGACAGCCTGACAAATCTAGAAATGATGAGACTGTCACCAGTGCCATAGGATTCCATGTATATCCCATAAGAATCAAAGTTTATATTTGTAATAAGATGCAAATAAAATATTCTCTTTGCTGCTGTATAAATTAAAAAATTTAAAAATCAGATACTACTCTTCTGTGCTGACATATATTATTCAGGCTTTAATGACTGAATAGGTGACTTTTAACTTCATGCTATATTTAAATTGTATAGATTTTTCTATACAAGGCTTCCTCACATTTGAGTATTTTTTGTAAAAAAAAAAAGTAAAATTTCACTGTGAGCGGACTGACTCACACACTGCACCTGACCTTCACGTGGTGGTCGGTCTACTTTGGAGCCGTTTCTTGCCTAATTCACCAGTTAGTTAATTAACCCATTAGTTAACCCAAGTTCACAGAAACACATTTTAGGAGCCAGTGTACCCTCTCAGAAAATGCAGCCCTTTTTCTCTGGGCCCCTCTGTGTTTTTTTAGGAGGTGTAGAAGCTCACACTATTCTAAGTCCTTCAAAGTGAACTGGACAAGTGGAATCAATGACCTTATGATTGCAAAAATAAAGACCTTAAATACAGATGGATAAGAAGCCACATAGGCTTCTCCTAAGAGTGTCAAAGGCAAATACAGTTCCCAGCCACCTTGCGTGATCCACAGAATGGCCATCACTTTGAAGGCGACACAGGAAACACTGAACTCATGACTTCCCAGGGTTCATCTGTGGTACCCAGTCTGGTTCCCTCTTGTGTGGCAAACAGAGCTGTTGGGCCCCAAAGTGGTCAACACAGATTACTCGGTCCTACTTACTCATCCAGTTTCTGACATTTAAGAAGCTCTGCTGACTGGTGAGGTCAAACATTAATAAGAAACCCATGGCATCTCTGAAAAATGCGGTCGTGAGGCTCCGGAACCTGCCAAGTAAGCACAGTGGACAGATGGGAAAGTTAGTCCACAGACACATTACGGTGGCAATACGAACAACAGCGTAGTATTTCCCTCTCAGGTATGAAACCCCCACGGCATTCCTCAGGGTTTACCCCACAGAACGGGAGACTACTCAGCATGACGGCTGCAGGGCCTGGGGAGACAGCTGGTGGTAGATCCACCTTAAGACCATGGCCTGGATTTTTGCTCCGTAGCCCTTACACACATCTAGTCACACACTTGCTCACAACACCCCTTGGCACGTTGGCTCATGGGCCTCCTGTGGTCCGTAATTAAAATGTGAGCCACTGTAGAATACTGGAACTTTAGCTTATACTTTTCAGACATTCTCGTCTGTGCCCAGAAGAAAGTTTGGCACATGGTAGCTGGAAAAATGAGTACTCAGGATCACATGCCAAAAACCGCAACTTTGTCAGCAGCTGGAACGAGACTTCTTTGGTTGGGAAAAAGAAAGTTGGTGAGAATGCTCTTTGATAGGCACTCTTTGCAGTGGAAGAGTAGCATCCATGTGTCCTGAGCAAGAGGGAAGACAGCGAAGAAGGGAGGAAGAGGAAAATGACTACAGGAACCGGGAGAAGGCGAGAGAGACTCAGCCATTGGAGAGAGAAAGCAAGACCCCTCGTCTATTGGGGGGTTTCGAAGAATATGCTCTGTCACGGGCAGTATGTCCTCCCCCTGCTCCTTCCCCCTCCACCTCAACATCCTCAGTGACTTGGAAGATGTGGCCAGACCCACTTCAATGTCAGGAATGGGCAAAGCCAGAGACCACATTTACGGACCACAGAAGGTTGGGTTGTACCAATACAGAAGGGCAACTGGCAATGGATTTGGAGAAAAGCACATAACTTTGAAATTAAGAAGAATATCCCTTCCTTTCCTAAAGGCCCTAATTTCTGGTCCCCTGTTTTAGCCTATTTGTAGATTCTTTGGTTTCCAGGGGGCTCTATTCTCAACCCCATCTTCCTCTATGTGTGTCCACTGGGTAATCCTGTCTACTTCTTCGCTCCATGATCACCGGCGTGTGGAACCTCAAATTTATGAACACAGATTGCTCCTGCCTCACATGTGCACCCAATCACTTGCTGGATATTTCCACTCGGAGGAAACTAATCTACCTGACATCCCACTTGTCTAAAACCAGACTGGCCTCTCTCTCCCCTTGACTGCTTTTCCTGACAGTGGTTTCGCCACCTCCCGGTGGTTGCCATCCTTCTTTCTTCTTCACCAGTTGTACACAGTCAACAACCACCTCCTGACCTTGGCATTTGTGTCCCTCTACCTTGCCACTACTCCAGTGTTGGGTCCAGTACCTTTCACCTGGATAACTGCAACCGTCTTCTCAATCGGCTTCCTGCCTCTAGTTTTGTTTGGGGCCCTCCCCTTCCCTGGTTTCTTCCCACTGATTATAAAAACCCTCCACTAAAAACACATTGGTGATGATGCGTTGCTCTTAAGATAATGACTGATCTCTTTAATAAGCTGTCAGGACGCTGCGTGAACCGACTCTTGCTCATCTAGCCCGATTCACCTCTGGAAGACCCACAGGCGTGCTGATCTCCTAGTTCTTACAAAGTTCACTCTCTCCTCTGGGCTTTCGCACATGCTGTTCCTTCTGTGGGTAACCTCACCTTACTGCTTCCTTCCCCTCCAACCCTCTAGCCGGAAGAAGACTCACTCATACGTTGTGCATGAGTGTGTGTTTACATATATAAAATGACATCAAAGGAAATATCGCCTCCCTTGGCAGTCTTGCCAACAGCCACACCTGGATGATGGGCTCCTTGTGGTGCACCTGCCTATCACCCTTTGGTTTCCTGTTACTGTCCTAAGTCTCCAAGAGCAAAGGAGCTGCGTTTCTAACTGGGTGTGCATTAGGTTTTCATGGCCCTGAACACAGTGATTCCTTACTAAATGTATGTCAAATTCAGGGAAAGAAATAAAGAGCATAGCCAGGAATATAAAACTAGCAAAGACTTGAATGACTTCAATAAAGAATAAAACTTTTAATACTAAAGCAAGGGGAAGAGATAGTTAAATGACTATGTATTTCCAAATGAGTATACTTTTGATGGTTATAATCAACATAATCATGATAATTATGAAATAACAAAAATTGTCCTTTTTTTTTCTTGTGGGTTTATTCCTCCCAGTCACTGGAAGAAAGCTCACGGAGATTATAGTGCTTTCATTGAATGAATCCCTCTCTTTAGGGACAAGTTGTCCTCACAAGATTGTCTCCTACTCAACCACAATAGTATGGCTAACTCAACCACAACAGCCTGCTCTCTTTCTGTGTGTGTGTGTGTGTGTGTGTGTGTGTGTGTGTGTTTTATTTGAAAATAAGAGTGTGCTGCATTCCCCTCTCATTACCCACAGCACATGACAAAGTCACTTAAAAACATGCTTGTTGTGTGGAGCTGATTGGGGCAAGTCCTTCTGCGTCCACACCATTGGGGACAGGACACTCTAAGTCTGCAGCTGGCTCTTCCCCTCAACCATTCTTCCCCAGGACCCTCGCTGTCCTCCATTCTTCCCAGGACTTATTCCAGGGGGAAGGCAACTGATTTCCAGCTTCGTCCATCAGTCTCATTCTGTCCACAGGACAGAGAGAGCGGAGACCCCATACACACCAACAGATCCCAGGAGCACGTTATGCCTCGTTCTCCCTCACTGGGAACTAAGGCTGTGTCCTGTACCTCTTATGCACACATAAGGGGTGTTACTTTCACCTCTTTTCCATCACATCATTAGCAACCATTGTCTTGTACGAGTTATGCCGCCAGGAGTCCTCACACAGGGTGGAGGTGTGAGGGATTGTTTATCGTGTGGCTTAGTGACACCTTACCTTTGCAGAAGGCAAAATTCTCCAGGGATGAACAACCCCATTGTCACCAAGACTGTCCCTAGTCTTCCCCATTTCCCTCAGAGAGCAGCTGTCGGGAGGGGACAGACGAGAGAAGCCTGCCATCACGCGAGGCTGACATATCATGTGCGAAGACATATGGGAACCACATTTTCTCATAATACTTCTTCAAATATGAATCAAACTGGTCTATAAAACACACATCTTTGTGACAACCAAACTGACATATGAGCAGAGATTCTTGTGAGGAACGACTGTGGCAGCGCGAGCAAGCAGTGTTGAAGGATGTGTGCAAATGGGATTCACAGTCAAAAAGCTAACGGAGACGGCGGCCCGGCACCTCTCCCGGCGCTCCCACTCACTGAAAGCGAGAACACTTTGGACGCATTTCAAAACCCACAGTGTTTACAAGCATAAACAGTCAAAGACATGCAATGTAGGATTTGGAGGTATGTGCCTTCTAAATATCTCATCTTGTCAATCTATTGCCAATTTTCATTTAATCTAATATTGAAGAGCTTCATTAGCTTGGGGTCTTGAGCACTTTGAAATCTTGCATCTCAAAGAAATACATTTTCATCAGATAAAATAGCACCTCCATCTCTCAGCAAGCAGCACTGTCGTCCACTGAGCTTCTCTTACCTGTGCTCTCTACCAGATACGACGCGAAACCAACCACAGCCTCGGCTCGTATAAATCTGACAGTTTTGCTGTGGTGACAGGGCCACAAGTGAATCAAAGAGCAGCAGATAGAGACAAAAATAAAAGATCTCCTTTATTACAGGTGGTAAAAATTAATTAACTTAAGGGATGGTAGACGAGGGTTCGTAGGATGCCAGAAGGAAGAGGCGGCTTGTTGATGTCGGGGTGTCCAGAAAGCCCCAGGGAGGTGGAGTACAAGCCAGGCCTGGTAAAGGAGAGGGGCAGGGAGGCGGGGCAGGGGTGGGGCATCCCCGCTGGAGGGCAATGCTGTGTGCAAGGTCTGAGGGAACAAAGTCGGTCAAGTGGCACAGGACAGAGAGGCTGTGAGGAAGAATGGAATCTACACACCGCTTCCTTCAACTCTTTCTTTGGGGAACACTTGCAGCTGTATTGATTTCTCACCTTAATTCAATTCAATTCAGTTCTGGGGAAGTTTTTATTTTTCTCCCTCTCATGAAGTACAATGACGATGTAAAATAAGAATCTTTATAGAGATTTTTGAAAATCTGATTTTTGAAATCTGATTTTTGAAAACCCAACACGCTAGTCATGGTTAATTAACTACAAACAATTTATTTTTGCTTCAAGGTACGAATGTCTATTTTGAATCCAGAGGAAGAGTTGCAAATAGTGTGGTTCAGTTCTTCCCCATATACCGGAAACCAATATGAAATACTGAAAGCAAACTACAATGAAATACGAAGAACTATACAACAACGCCAGTTTTTCTGAGCTACTTGTAACTGGAAACAAAGAAATGCACGTTACCGCTCTTGTCCTGCGGTGTCCCAGAGTTGCAGGTGCACCTTGAACGTTTTCCCTGATGATTCACTGGGCCCCTGCGTGTTGTAAACCTGAAAGAGATGGTTTTCATCCGTTGACAGTGCCTTGGGTTTTGTCAACATTCAGATTCTCTGGGTTCGCTCAACATGTTTTTTTCTCAATTACTATAATCAAAGTTCATAGTGCAGGATAAATATTTGCTCTGGTTTTTTTCCCAGCAGTATCACATATACTCTCACTTTTAAATGTCAAGTACAAGTATGATTTTCAACACAATTTAGGCATACTGCAAACTTAAATTAGACACCTTCTGTCACTTCCTCGGAGAAGCAGCAAACACTAGATTTAGGACCCCAGTTCTGGGTTCAAACATCAACTCTTCATTTAACCTCTCTGAACCCTGTTTTCCTACCTGAAAACTGAGACCCATTCTTTCTCCCTGCTTTACAGAGTCATTATCAACTTAAATGAAATAGCAAGTGTGAAGGAATTTTTACAACAGTACAGTGATTTACAAATACCTGCACATATTTTACTGGGCTCTGGACTTTCAACATGACTTAGCCATGAAATATGCGCAAAAAATTTTAGTAAGTTTACACAGGACATTTTAAGTCTTTCTTTATTAGTCATTCCTTCCAAGGGATTTTAAGAAAAGCTTAATTTTTTAAAATTGTAGTCTTTGGACTGCTGATTAGGCAAAGCATAAGAATTTTCATATTTCCTCAGCTCCCTTGAGCACAGCTCAGTGAAAATGTTTTAAAAGGAACATGGCAAGGACTTATACATAGATCAGTAGAGGGTCTAGGGAGGGAAGACTGCAAGAAAATCCGGTAGGGGCTAGAAGCGAGTCTGCTAAGACTGAATTGCAGTTTATCAACTTCCAGGTAATGGACAGGATAGAATGATAAACCATGGTTTAATTTCTCAACCCGTATTTTCTTTGTTGTTTTTTCCTCCATTCTCAAGGAGTGAATAGATCTGTGACATCAGTTGGGAGCCACAGCCATGTTAACAACCAAGAACACCTGGGTGTGTGGCAGTAAATCTGGTGAAGCTTCTGTGCCTATGTTCCCCGTCTCACATGTCACAATATCTCCATCCCTGTCATTAGCGTCTAGCATAGGAGAAGGAAGTGGTTGCGATTCTCACTTAAACTCCCTTATCTTGGAAAATAGCACGGATCGGTCTCACATTCTGCTCATAATCAGCCTGTGATTGATGGCTGAGTCTACACATAAATAAAAATGCAGCAAGAACTTACAGAGCTCATGTTCCAGTTATTTGCCAATCACTCTTCCAGCATCTTTCCGAGGAGCAGGAAATGTACACTGTTCTTACTGAGAAACTCGACTCTGATTAAGAGTTAATGTTTTTAGAGCCTGAATAATTCAAGTTTTCAAAGATTCCTTAAGAATTCATAGAAAACACACTGTATAAACCCATAAATTATTTATTTTAGTGGCCCTGTATGCTTTTGGAGACAAGCAATCATGTCACTCAACATTTTCCTATGCAAAATGTTATTTACAGTTGAGCAAGTAAAAAGTAATATGACAGGTTATGAATTTTACGTGATAAAAGACAGATGACTTGAATGCAATAAACATAGCTTCTTAATTCTTATTTTATCTGGGGGTGGGGGTGGGGGGTGGGGGCTGGGATCAGCTATAAATTAAACAGTATGGGTAAGAACTCACCACACGTTTTTCCCGAAAGTCTATTCCTACTGTCGTGATGAACTTGGGATTGAATTTATTGTCTGTGTATCGATAAAGAAACGTCGTCTTCCCCACCCCTGAGTCTCCAAGGGCCAGGAGTTTGATCAGATAATCGTAGTCCCCATCGGTCATAGTGATGGTCTTGTGGGGCCTGTGGAGAAGAGGAAGAAGAGTTGTCATGATGAAAGCTGGGTTTCCTTCGTATTCCTTCACAACACAACATAAATGTAGGTGTCGAGGTTAAAAAAAATTGAATGGGCTCATTCTGCCAAATTCTCAATTAACTTATTCAAGCAGCTTCAGGGGTAAGGGCACCTCTATCCTTTCACTCAGTACAAATCTTTTTACAGCAGGCCCATCAATATAGAGCAAAACCTATACAACAGTCACACTAGCCACGGCCCCAGCAACAGGAGAACTTACGAAAGTCATCACTTTTTGTTTAAAGCCAGTGCCCTTTGCAGTCAGGAGGATGGTGCTGGGAAGAGGAAAGAGTCATGGAGGGAACAGAGAAACCCAACCAAGGTGGTGCAGCTGCGCCAGAGAGACACCGGGTGCGTGCCTGCGCGGTGGCAGGGAAAAGCTGAGAGGGCTGCCCTGCATCTAATCATACAAAATGAGTTTTCTATTATGTGTGGACAAAATATCCCTTTCTAATCTTAAAAAATTAACAACTGGTGTGACAACCTTTAAAAACACTGATTGGAAGTCCTTTCAAAAGCTATGGTTAAAAATCTCCTGTTTTGGAATACCAAAGCCTCTCTGTTCTCTAACAGAAAAATTGCAATATTGGGCAAATCGACTAAATATTTTCCGGGTCTTAAAAAGGAGGAGGAGGCCCTGGCTGGTGTAGCTCAGTGGATTGAGTGCAGGCCTGGGAACCACACGATCACGGTTTGATTCCCAGTCAGGGCACATGCCTGGGTTGCAGGCCAGTTCCCAGCAGGACACTCATGAGAGGCAACCATACATTGATATTTCTCTCTCTCTCTCCTTCCCTTCCCCTCTAAAGATAAATAAATAAAACCTTTAAAAAATAAAAATAAAAAGAAGGAGAAGGTATTAAGAGGCATAATTATGGTAATTCTGCTAATGCTTTTCCTGAAGGAAAGAACAATGTCACTTACCATTTCTTTCAGAGCTCTAGCCTCTCCTGCCTCAATCTTATATATATTTTTGTTGTTACAGCAACTAAGAGCCAAGGGCCAAAGCCAAGTGCAGCTACTCTGGTAACACTGAGAACACTGCTGCATGCATCTGAATGTTGCCATCATTACTGAACTCCTGGCGAAGCTTCCAATCCTGAGTTTGGGACAGTGCTTTGCTATTCTGTATAACTTTCTGACTGATGGTTATAGACATGGTTTTGCCATGAGCTTGTATAGAGGGAGGCCTATAAAGGCTTTGCTGGCATGGGAGTGTCTCTTCCTTCACTACGTGAGAAGGAGGAATATTTTCCCACCTCTGCAATCCCAGAGTCATTGCGCTCTTCAGGGGTTCTGAAGTGGTTAAAATAGAATTCATTAAATTTCAACTACAAGCTATTCTATGGCCAATCTAAAAATAGTTAGATAATCCTAAAAATGTTCTACATGTAAGAGAATGATACACATGTTCATCAATGCAAACACATTTTTTTACATTGTCATTTTGGTTAGTAGTCAAAACTGAAAGATTTTTTGTCTTTGGATAAATAATAGTAAAGACGATAATCAGGTACTTAGCAAATCAGTATCATTACATCATTTGAAAGGTTTGCAATTTTTTACATTAGAGTTTTCTAAAATTTGAACTGTAATGCTGCTAAATACTACTACATTCAATATGGATTTATGTTTTTATCCATAAGGGTATGGATTTAATCCCTATGGGTTTACGTAATCAATGCACGTTTTTTGAGCAATGGTGTTTTATGAGTTGCCAATACACAAAGTTTGGCAACTTTGTGTAAAGTTTTCTTTCCCTATGTTGCGCCTTCTTCACTAAGTTAGGACTCTCAGGGTGGCTGTTTACTGACCATGAATGCTTACTTTTTCTTTTCTACTATCTATACAAAACATAATCATTGCTCATGAGGAGAGGCCATGAACAACCAGCCTTCCTTAATAAGAGAAAACAGGTGTCTCAACGACCGAGATAAAATTCTTCTTTGAAAACATCTGCACTGGCTGACCGCCTGGCAGCAGGTAGTTCTGAGCATGGGTGGTTCCAAACATCTCACCGGGGCTTTAGCTGAAGATGCTGCGGCTTCCAGTCTTTGTGTCCAATGGGCAGTAGAGGATGTTGCTGCTAGAGTCGTGATTCCCCCATTTAAGGTCTATCACCTGACCCACCTCGCTATGGTTGGCCCCATCCCCCAGACTTGCTCATGGAAAGCTCCTTCAGGGAGTGAGAGTTTGTCATTGCACTGGTGGAACTCGACGAAACTGCTAATTCTCGTGGGAAGAGAGAGATTAATGTTTACTCTAAGACATAAATGACCACAGCCAATTTTTCCCTGGACACAAACATTAATAATCCGAGGAAGAAATGAAAGCCTCTGGCTGCCTAAATACAAGCTTCAGTTGGACAATACTGTGGCCTGCTGGAAAGGTGAAAATAATGTCATCAAGAAGGTGTGTGAGCATACTTTAAAATTGGGCTGCAAGTTAACTATGTATTTTTGCATTATTTTTGTGACTGTATCAGGGAAGGCTGAATCTTGAGCAAATCTGATTAAATATCTTCAATATATAGTATCAGGTTCAAAGAGAAAAATTCAAAAAGTATAGTTCATAATCAAGTTCCAGACAAGGCATGCATATAATTAAAACTTAAATAAGGATGCAAGACAAAGCAACATACCTTTATAAGATGGAACATGATTAATTGATAAATGTGTTTTTACTTTAAACAGAAAGGTGGACTTCGGTGGTTGGAGCAGATTTTGTAGAGGACTCCAGAGCATCACAGCATGAGGAGAGATTACACAAACAAGGGGTGGAGACACAGGACCATGGAGGAGACATTAGCTCCCACGTGTAGAATGAAACTGTCATTAGTTGCCAACTGCAAGACCACCAACCACATGTATTCCTGATCTGAGTCCATTTGTTCTCTGTGGTTTGTACATAAACCTGCCTGGGCAATACAAGGGTTGCCTCCCAGTCAGGCTTCAGTGCAGAGGAACTAATCTTGGCCCACGGGCATCAGTTCCACCGTGGCCCACACCAGCTCTTGCCTGCAGGTAAAGGGGTGTGGACACAACCCTTCACACAAAGTCCACCTGAAATGAATGCAATGCGTGGCACTCTGGAAAACCTTTATGTAGTGTCTCCAAATGACTAAAGAAATTGGCCTATTGGATTATCCGTCTCCAAGTTTCTTTCTAAACAAATTTTAGTTTTCATTTTCTATGACGACTCGTATCTATATCTATCTATATATAATTCTTTTGAATTCAGTTTGGTTCCTATTTTATTACCCTGTGGTTCTCTGAGTCCTAAAATCATATGATCACAATATTCTATTCCTAGCACAGCAAATACAACACCGCAAAGGAAAATAAAAGTCTTGGCAAGACTCCCTCTCCCAAGAACTGAGCTTAAAAAAAAAACGATCTGGGAAGGATCAGAAAGCCGACAAGTTCAGCAGCATTGCTTATTCCTGCTCTTGACAGCTCTTGGTTCTATGATCTAAAAGGGAGGAAGGGGCCCGGAGACCACTGTGTTTCAGGAAGTGTGTCGGACTCTCCCTCACTATCACTGTGTCACAGGCTGTACCACACAAGCCAGGAGGTCTTTTAGATACAGAAACTGAAGCATCATCCCGAGAGGCCTTCTTGGGATGGTATGGGTTGGTTATGGGGCTGGGAAGAGTAGGGAAAATATGCAAACACCCATAAGGCTCTGTTTAATGAAGAGTCTTAAATGTACAGGGAAATCTGAGTAAATCATGTGGGCTAAGCTTCAGTTTGCAGATAAGGCATGTGATCTGTGGCATGACAGTTTCTAACGAAGGGAAACCCAAGACTATTGGTCATTACAATTTGAAATGAAAAGTGGATTAGATAGGTAGGAACTAGAAATATTTTATTCTATGGAAGAAAGGAACTCCCCCCTGGGTATTAACAGGAACATGATTCTCATTGTTAGAATGTCTCAGGGTTGTTAATAGTTTTTTTCCATCCCCCCCCCCCAGCGATGCTCCATTCTTGTTCAATGTAAATTCCATTAGCTCAGGAACTTAATAGCCTCTGTCCACTGCTGAATCTACAGAGCCCAGGACAGCGACTGGTGTATAGTCAGAACTTAATATGTGTATGTTGAGTGTCCAAATGTATTTAAGCTTCTCAGAGCTGTGCAAATGTCATGATTAATCAATTCATCTCAGAGCAGCCGGTGGAAGGGGTGTCCTTCCACATTCAGGACTTGTATTCTCCTTCCTTCCTCATTTGGAAGTGAATGTTTAGATTAAGTGATTACTTGGTACTTCCCAGGCCTGGCTTCCTGAGCTCATGTTTCAATTTTTGGTTGCACAAGAGTACAAAGCAGCCTCTCAAACAGAATATTTATTTACGTCTTCAGAGGAGCTATTCCAAATAAACTGAGAAAAGATAAAGTACAGGAAACTATAGTTTTTGAAAGTGAGATTTGTGCTGACAGAAGCAATGAACTTGTAGTTGTGCAGGTCAGGGCTCAGAAAACAGAGGTGATCCATGGAAGCCTCCACTCACCCATCCAAGGCCCACTTGTGGGCCCCTCTTATTTTGCACGACATTTGCACGGTTCTGAGGATACACTCTGCTTTCTCCAGGAGGAAGCTTAACAAATGCTACAGATACATATGGATGACTATTACACAAATAGTCATCCATAGGTGTAAAATGGGCAGAAGTTTAGTATGCCCTCACTTATCTTTGATTGGTTTGTGTTGGGCTCCAACACAATGTATTCGTACATGTATTTAAATGTATTTGTAAATACATTTCGAAGTCTGGGATTCTCATAGCAAGCACTTCCATTGCCTGAATGACAGCCTGAGCATGGTTCTCATTTCCTGACATTGAAACACTGCTTCCCAAACCACATTCATGTTCTGGGGTTGGAATTAAATTATAAATGGCTGAAGTCTTCTAGGGGCTTTCAGGCTGTGTATCAGTAGAACAAAAGG